TGAGCCACGGCACCGGCCCCTGTAGTAACTTATTTTCCCAGAACTCCGCAGAGCCTCCCTCCCACCTCCTCTGTTGCTCAGCCTTAGCAGGAAACCTGGTGCTACAGTTGGGTAACTTGTGAGAACAAAATGCCAGGGTCACTCTGTTTGAGTGAATGACCACACACCTTTAGGAAAACTGTGCTGCATTCTTCTGCTTCCATGAGCAAAGCACAAAGCACACAATCATCCTCTCTAATTCTCACCTCCTTAGATCTTGGGTCTTTCTTCAGTGATTACTCAAACCTTATATTCTTGTAGAATAATCTGTCTGCGCTACAATATGGGTGAGTGACCTGAGAAATGCTGTAAGATGCCTTTTTTTTTTTTTTACAGTGAAAGTCTTTTTTGAACAGAAACTCTCATTTCCTTGTGTAGCAGTTTGCTCACCCATATATACTTTCAGAGACAAACTGTCCTCAGAAATTGAGGATTAAAATAAATCTCGTTTTCAATAAGTGATCACAGAGTTAAAAAGACAAACCACATCAATACGTTTATCATTAGTTGTCTAGGTTTCAGGTGTAAGCTTGGCACAATTTTTCACATCACAAAGTGATTTCTTTTTTTCTTATTTTTTTTTGTAAAATACTTTAATTCGAATTTGGTCTCCACTATTTGAGTTACATCTAAATTCTCAACCATTCAACACTGTGTATTTGGGCACCACCCACATGCTTGGGTATATCAGTAGTTCCCAAATGCCAAGTCTAAATGATCAACTGGGGAAACTCAAGAGACACACAGAGGGACTCACTTCCTTCTTGCCTCCCTCTCCTCGGTAGATTCTGATTTAGTTTCAAAAAGCTCACAGGTAATTTTGAATATGAGCCAGGTTTGGAAACCACTGAGATAATTCTTTGTCTGTCTGTCTGTCTACCTACCTATAGAAGTACAGGTCACTCTATCTGTCCATCCATCCATCTTCATTTTCTTCTTCCAGAAAATATTTAAAGGCATTGAGTTGTTTAAATATAATAACTTAGGAAACAAATCATTTAAGATAATAAACAAAGATATCAATCCTGCTTTATCTTTACTTGTCATTGTTTTGTATTTTCCAAATTATCCTGACATGTGTTACAGTAATAACAACATTCAAAAAGAAGCTTGTAGATAAAAATGGAGTCCTGGCACTTGTCAGAGTTGCCGGGCATATGTACTATTGGATGCTTGCTGAATTATCAGTTCACCAAATACTTGAATTTTTAGGACCCACCATTGCTGCAGAGCAGCAGAAAGGAAAATTTCTATGGCTGTAATTTTGCAGATTACTAATGCAATGAGACACCTCTAAAATTTTAATAGTTCTGCTCACTAGGGTCCTGCAACACCTCTTTGAGAAATGATCCCCCCATTACACGTATCAATGTTATATAAAATATCAAAGAAGACTTTCTTTATTCAATTGGAATGGGAAAAAACTGGAACAGCGTATTGGAATCCTAGAATGACCTTGATTTGGAAGAATCTTTCAAGGTCCTGTGGTCCAACAAGCAGTCATGTAACCCCTGGGACACAATGAATTTATTGTCAGTAGACTGCCTCCTCCTAGTGGTAAGTGGTGGCCATACTACTTCAGTTTTTAGAAATCCAATCTCAGAATCACAGTTTATAAATGATTTTGTGTCAAGGATGTTTTGACTATGATTATTAAAGATATGCAATTGTGATAATATCATATAACACCAATGATAAAACCATCAGCTAATCAAGGCAACAATATCTAAGGCAATCAAAAGCTCATTACTTTTCTAATTTCTGACTCACTAGTTGTTTAAAATGAAATACTTTATCTCTTGGGGCCGGCGCTTTGGCATAGTGGGTAAAGCCACCTCCTGCAGTGCCAGCGTTCCATATGGGCACTGGTTCGAGACCCAGCTGCTCCACTTCCAATCCAGCTCTCTGCTATGGCCTGAGAGAGCAGTGGAAGATGGTCCAAGACCATGGGTCCCTGCACTCACTTGGGAGACCTGGAAGAGGCTCCTGGCTCCCAGCTTCAGATTGGCGCATCTCTGGCCGTTGTGGTCAACTGGGGAGTGAACCAGAGGATGGAAGACCTCTCTCTCTCTCTGCCTCTCCTTCTCTCTCTTTGTAATAAATAAATAAATAATTAAAATAAATCTTTTTTTTTTAAGATTTATTTTATTTATTTGAAAGATCTCAGAGACACAACATTCTTACAATTAAAAAATCTTAAAGAAATGTATGTAGCTATGTATGTTATAAGTCAGCCCCATTCAGATTGGAAGGCATTATAAACCAGTATGATTAAGTTTTCAGAAATGGAAAATTGCTCCCTTATAGTTATAGCTACTGGTAGCAAACAGAGCAAAACACAAATGAAGAAGTTGGACATATTTTAATACCTGAGCCAAGATCTGATGGCCTAAAGAAACATTTGCTACTTAGAGGCAAATTGTTCTTCCAGGTAGTTATTCTGTTTTTTTTTTTTTTAAGATTTATTTATCTATTTGAAAGGCAGAGAGATCTTCCAACTGCTGGTTCACTTCCCAAATGGCTTCAATGATCAGGGCTGGGCCAGGACAAAGCCAGTTGCCTGGAACTCCATTTGCATATCCCACATGGGTGGCAGGGGCCCAAGCCTTGGGCTACTTCCCAGGAATATTAGCAGGGAGCTGGATTGGAAGTGGAACAGCCAGGTCTCAAACCAGGACTCATACAGGATGCTTGTGTCATAGGTGGAAGCTTTACCCACTCCTCCACAATGCCAGCTCTGACAAATTGTTCTTAAGAGCCAAGTGAGTTCAGTCAAATTTATAAATCAACTTTGGTATCCCAGAAAAGTTAATTTTTTTTCAGAAAAGCTTATTTAATGATATTTTTTGAATGCTGCTTTTATACAGTTTTCACACACGCTGTATTATTTTCGTTTGATCTCTCAACCACTCTCCGAGGTTGACAGGGAAGGCATTATTAGTATTACACTTTTTCTATGGTACAGGAAATTGAGGCTGAGGGAGATCACGCAACAAAACAGTCCCTGAAATGGGACAAGAACCACGATTTTCTCACTCTTTGTAAAATGCGACACTGAAATTTAGGCTGTGCTTTTTATTTGGGTGTTCCATCTACCGCTTCTTCTATCCAACTCATCCCCGATCTATCACACCAGCGTTGCCTTCCACCCAGCCATCAAATGGGAAGATTGAGAGGCCCCAGGTTTCTTCCTCCACCAACCCCTCCCAATGCCACACCTTGCTGCTTTTCCCGACCCTCCTCCACATCCTGGGATGTTCCAGTGTTGTTTTCCTAGAGCCGCTGGAACAAGGAACCTCAGGCTGGGAGCTTCAGCAACAGAAACATATTTTCTTGCAATTCTGGAGACTGAAGGTCCAACGTGGAGATGTCTGCAGGGCTGGGTTCTTCTGCAGCCCCTCTTGTTGGCTTGCAGCTGGCCAGCTTCTCCCTGCGTCTTCACACGGTCTTGCCCTGTACTCATCTTTATCTGCATCTTCTCTTCTAAGGACACCATTCGCTTGGAACAAGGTCCTCGTGTTCACTTTGGTACCTCTTTAAAGGCCCTCTCTCCAAATACATCACATTCTTAAGTCCTGTGGTCAGGATATCGGCAAAAGCCTGAGGGAGAGGGCCCAGGCATGCCCAGCCTGTGACAACCCCATGATCTTTCTCGGGTGACTGAAAGCTGCCTCCACCCACTGTGTACCTTGCCCAAGCCCCTCTCCACCTCCCTGACCACGGTGCTGGTCCAAGGGTCGTTCTACTGTGCAAGCTCCCTTTGCTTCTATCCTTAGTGATGTTCATGTCTCACATCTGACCCCACTGGGCCAGCGTGACCTGCTGCACGCCCAGTTCCACGTCTCCACGCCTTTGCTTTTACTGTGCCATCCCACCGAGACCTCACTCTTCACCTTGCTGCTTCTTCCTCACTCTTCCCAAGTGAGAGCCAGAGGAGACTTCGTGGTCCCTTCAGGCTCCCAGAATGAGGCAACCCACGTGCGTGAGTAGACCTCAGGGCAGATCGCAGGGTCATCTACGTTGGCACGGTCTGTTCAGGAGATGCTGATCCACATCTGATGTCAGGAACTTGCTGCTCCAACACGTTGCCCCCCACTCTTAGGAGGCATCAGCTGCCCCAGACCATGAACCCCAAGGCAGGAGAAGCTTCTTCTCTGTTGTAGCCCATTTATGGCTGGCTACTCTCATATGCATACTTGTATGTTTATACACATTTCAACCTAGACTCCCACTCATGAGGTTAATTTACATTGATATTAACTACGGTCTCCCCTTCTCTGCTCCCCTCCTCTGTCCTGTTTCCAGCTGGTTGCAGCTTTGCTTAGAGGAGGTCTGAGGCAATGTGGAGAACAGAGAGGCCATCCAGTGATTTATGGTACTCTGGGTTTCTTTTTCTTTTTTTAATATTTAGCTACTTTTTTTTTTTTTGACAAATAGAGTAACAGACAGAAAGGGAGAAGCAGACAGAAAGAGATTGATCTTCCATCCACTGGTTCACTTCCCAAATGGCTGCAATGGTCAAGGATAGTCCAGGCCAACTCCAGGAGCCAGGAACTCCATTCAAGTCTTCCCCATGGGTGTTAGGGGCCCAAGCACTTAGGCCATCTTAGGCTGCTCTCCTAGTCACATTAATAGGGAGCTGGACCGTAAGCAGAGCAGCAGGGACTCAAACCAGTGATCCTATGGGATGCTGTCACTGGATGTGGCTGTGCCACAATACTTGCCCCTGACTTCCCAGTTTTCCCAGTTTTCTAGGTTGTGATTCATGCCCAGTACACCCAATTGGGGTTCAAGCAGAGAACTGGCTGTCAGAGAGGTGGGCACATTTCAGGCAACTCCAATCTCTCTATGGTAGCTACTTTAACCCTATCTAACCTTCAGAACAATGTCATGTAAGCATTTCCATGCTAGTGACCTCATTGGAAACTCACCCTACCCCCAGCATGTACTTACTATCAGCAATTTTGTCAGTACCACCCCCACCCCACCCCTGACCACCCGAATGAGGCTGTGCCAAGAGTTAGCATAGGCCTTGCCCCAGCCTCCTGTTATAATCAATGTTCTGGTTCCAAATAATGTCACATTCATCTATGTGTCCCCAGGATCCAGCCTCATGCCGGATACATAGTAATGCTCCCCAAATATTTGTTGAAAATCAAGATAAAATAATCAAATCTATGGGAGAACAGGACAGGGGCAACCAAGTAGACATTTGGAAATATTTTCATTAAGAAGTTTTGGTAATGGAGCTGGGGGAGCAGAGGTGCCTGTAAAACAAGCAGTCATGAGCCAGATAATCAGAACTGCACTGGTTTCCCTGCGTTTACGTACAGACGTGAAATGTCCTCCAGTAAGCGGTAAGAAGCAAAAGCAGAGCTGTCTTTGTTGAGTGTAGCTGGTGTGCTACACAGAAGTGCCAGTGTGATCATGGACCGGGCATGGAGGGGGGGCTTGTTTACTTTGTGCTTTGTCACAGTGGCCCTTTGTCGGCCACAGAGACAGTGACTTCCGCCTCTCCCTGGGAGAAGCCAGATGGAGATGTCATTCGCTGTGCCTTGTCAGCCCTTGAGGTGATGTCACAGCTTCCTCAGGATAAAACCTTCATTTAGCTGCAGGGGAACAACTGAGTAATAATGTGATTACTGTTGCATGTCATCTCTTGGCTCAGATTTTGGAAACAGATGAATCTTTGACGGTGGTGTGAGTAGGGGATCACGGGCCTGGATGGCCTCGTCTGGAATGACAAGGTTGGAAATTTCCACTGCAGAGGGACGTCAGGGCTTTCGATGCAGACATAGTCCTTAAAACACATCAAGAATGGAACCACAAAGTAATAAAAAACAGGTTTGATATTTTTTATGTGAAGAAAGCTGAACAAAAATAAGTACACAGTGGATACTGCTTAGGATGAGAGAGGCAACAAACCTTGAAAACATTGATCAAATGAAAGGACCCAGTTGTATGAGACCATATAAGACCACCCCATTGCTGTGAGATTCCCAAAACAAGCAAATCCTAGATACAGAAAATAGAGAGCTGGTGAGCTTGGGTTGGATGGGGAGAAGGGAGAATGACCACTAGTGGGCATGGGATTCTGTGGGAATAATGAAAATTGTTCTAAAATTGTGATGATGTGACACAACTCTAAATATACAGAAAACCACTGAGTTGTATGTTTTAAATCTCTTATTGTATGTGAAGTTTATGGTGTAGGAGCTATATCTCAATACAACTGTTGAAAATGTTAGTGACTGGTGTTGTGGTACAGCAGGTTAGGCCATTGCCAGCATCCCATATCAGAGTGCAAGTTGGAGTCCTGGCTATTCTGTTTCAGATCCAGCTTCCACGAATGCACCAGGGAAGGCAGCAGATGATGACCCAAGTGTTTGGGTCCTTACCACCCCCATAGGAGATCCAGATGGAGTGCCTGGCTCCTGGCTTCAGTCTGGCCCAGTCCTGGTTTTTATAGTCATTGGGGTGTGAAATAGCAGATGGAAGATCTCTCTCTCTCTCTCTCTCTCTCTCTCTCTTTCTGCCTCTCAAGTAAATAAATCTGGTAAAAAATGTTGAGTATTGGGATAAGACAATTCTTTAAATTGTCTTGTTACACCACGATGGAACTTATATTTTCAGTGAACAATACAAAATATGTCACTCAGTAAACATTTGGCAAGGATGCTTCATATTCACCAAAGATAATTAATGCTTAAGAAATTCATATGATGTGTTTTTGATAAAACTCAAAATTTAAAGACTTTCAAAAGTAGGTGTAATCATATTTTCACTAAGAGCTTGACAAGTAATGACCTGCTTTGTGGTGTGTTTGGTTTTCTAGGGGGTGCTGCAGCGGTCTGTTAATGCCAGCTTCTCCCTTTCCTCTGTTGCTTTTCAAGGATGAGGTTGGCAAACAGAGTTGTCAAATTGGTCAAACCTCCAGCGTGGCTGTGCCGGTGGTTCCTAATCCAAAGTAAGAGTTAAAGTGGTCTTAGATCACAAGAGCCCAGTTGAAATTCATGGAAGGTTTCCCTATGATTTTGTGTAGCACTAAATGTTATAGAGTTCCTTCATTCTTCCATTATTTTATCCAACTTCTGAGGTTCTATTAAGTAGGTGCAATGATGGTACCCTACCTCAAAACACCGCCATAATGATTCCAGGGCTGGGAGAGGGAAAGTCTTAGAAGAGCAAAGAATCTTCTAGAATCTTGCTGTGCCATAGGCAAAGAAGTGCTCAAAGAATGAATGGTGTAACCCTTTCACAAAGAATAGACACTAGCTAAAAGAAGCTCTCACTGGCAAAATTTGGGACAATTTGAGCATCAAAATGAATAATGGTAATGGATAGTAAGCCACAGAGTTAAATGGATATCCCCAAAGTATGTTTTTTAAGACCTATTTAACTTATTTGAGTGGCAGGGTTACAGAGAGGGAGAGGCAAGTCTATATTGATAGAAATATATGAATAAATGAGGCATAAGAGAAAGCTCTTCCTTATAGTTGAATGCCAATTCATAGAAGTAGAAGAAATAGTGGCCAGCATTGTGGCACCAGTGAAGTTGCCACCTGTGATGCCAGCATCCAATATGGGCACCAGTTCAAGTCCCAGCTTCTCCAGTTCCAATCCAGCTCCCTGCTAATGGCCTGGGAAAAGCAGGAGATGATCCAGGGGTTTGAGCCCACGTGGGAGACCTGGAAGAAGCTCCTGGCTCTTGCTTTGGCCTGGCCCAGTGCTGGCTGAGTGGCCATCTGGAGAGTGAACCAGTGGATGGAAGATATCTCACTCTGTGTCTCTACCTCTTTCTCTGTGACCCAGACATTCAAATGAATAAATAAAACTTTAAAAAACAGAAGAAATAATGAAATTAGGAAAAGAACCATTTGGCAATCACCATAGTAACAATCGTTTCAGACAAGAATTACGAATGGATACAAAACTAATGTGTGAGATATTTGCACGGTGTCAAAATGTTTCTCAAGAAGACACTGATTAATTACAACAGGCAAGTAGTAACTACCATGGAGAAAGTGGCAGTGCCACTTCCTATGTGACTAACGTTAACACCACCAGTAGTTGGACAAGAAGATAGAAAAGTGCCTCTGAGGAGGAGTTCCTGCCAAGGATGCACATTTGAATTTAACCAGGAGGAAGCATCAAACGTGGCCAAAGTGAGGCACATCCTGTAAAATAAATGAACTGTGTCATTCAAAAATATTGAGGTCATGAATGACAAAGAAGGACTACGAAGGGGCTGCCCTAGTTTAAAGGAGACTAATAAGATATGAAGACAAAATGCAACCTGGAACTGCATCAGGAGAGAGAGAGAAAAAAAGAAAGAGAGAGAGAGAGAGAGAAACAGAGAGAGAGAGAGAGACGGAATGAATGAGAATGAACAAGGATCCATAAGCTATAAAGTACATAAGGGGAATTACTGCCAAATTGGAATATGGTCTATAGATTAGATAACAGAACCGGGCCAGTGTACTTTCTTTATTTTGATCACTGCTTGTGTACTTTGCTTTTTAGAAAATAGACTCTATAGTGTTCAGAGGTTTGCACTTTACTCTTAATGGTTCAGCAAAAATTTATGCACACACAGAGGTTTGCATACCCACAGAGAAAAAGAGACAGAGAGAGAGAGAGAGAGCAGGAGGCAATATGGTCAAGCAGATGCTATTGCTGTAATGAACCCTAAACTGGGCAATGGTTTCAGAAGTGGGGAGAGGCCAGGAAACATCCTGCTTCACCTTAGTGAGACTCATTTTGGACTTCTGACCTCTAGAGTGAGACAATAATGCAATTCTCATTTTCGATTATGTTGCCAACTTTTGCTAAAGCATGCATTCATTCTTATTAATTATCAACTACTGCTCACTGACCTTTCAATATATAAAATGAGATTTTTTTTTAGAGGGTAAAGGAGAGTTAGCAATTTTATTACATGCTTTTGGAAGTGCAAAGAACTGGTAAGTTAAGTCTTCAGGGAATTTCGTATTTTCTGGAAAGAGAGAGAATTATATTTGAAACTTTGATTTGACATGGAAGGGTTCTTGCTATCCAAAAGTCTTTCATTAATTACAATTTCACTGATTGTATGAACATCACATATTGCTCAGTTTTTGCAGAGTGAACAGAGAGTAGATTTTTTTTACTGATAACTGATTTTTTTCTTAATTATGGCTACATTTGATTGGCTTTGGTTCCCGCAGTTAGTATTAGTGATATCATATTATTAGTCAGCATATAAATGTATGCATATGATAGCTAACTTTAAAGGACAACGGAACTTGTCATCTTTATCACACCCTAGTCAATATCATAAAATAATGTTGTGATTAACTTTTTAACTTTCCATGGATTGGTAGGCTAGAAGGGAGAGGGCACTGACAGGCCATTAGACAGGTGTCCCCTCTGGGTGGAAGTGTCCCTGCGGGTGCAGGCCAGGGCAAACCCAGGAGCGGGCTCCAGAGCAGTTACTTGCCCAGTGCTGGTGCTTTCCTTGGGCAAGTGTTACCTGCACAGTCATCTGCAGAAGCCTTGGGAAGCAGCCTCAAGAGTCACTCAAGAGAGGTGATCATGGGCCGTCACCGTGACTCACTTGTTAACCCTCTGCCTGTGGTGCCGGCATCCCATATGGGAACCGGGTTTTAGTCCCGGCTGCTCCTCTTCCAGTCCAGCTCTCTGCTGTGGCCCAGGAGGGCAGTGGAGGATGGCCAAGGTGCTTGGGCACCTGTACCTGCATGGGAGACCAGGAGGGGCACCTGGCTCCTGGCTTCAGATGGGAGCAGCGCCACCCATAGCAGCCATTTGGGGGGTGAACCAACGGAAGGAAGAGCTTTCTCTCTGTCTCTCTCTCTCACTGTCTAATTCTACCTGACATATAAGTAAAAAAAAAAAAAAAAAAAGAGAGAGAGAGAGAGAGGTGATCACAGACCAGGGAAATATGGTGGCTTTGACTTCACATGGATGTTTGAATCTCAGCAATGGGCTGAGAAATTTAAGTTCCTGAAACCTAAAATTGCCCATCTATAAGATGAAATTAATAATGTTTATCTCAATAATTGCTGTCAGAATTAGGGAGGAAGTACATACAGTGTCTGGTCCACACAAGACGGAGGCCATCTCACCTAGTGTGTCCTTTATTATAAAGGAGGAGCAGAGGGTTGGAGTGGGCTGGCCACACCTGAGATCCCTTGACACATTACTCCTATCAACCTTCAGACACCACAGAGCTGCTCTTGAAGCATTAGGCAGGAAAGGAGCTTGGTGGTCTTTTTTTCCTTTCCAGATGTGGGAAAAATATAACAACATCAATGTGCTCCAAGTCTGAGATTTTACTTTCATAACCCTTCAATGCTTACAGCCCATTCTAGTGACTTTGAAAATCAAGAGCTTTAATTTTTAAATGGAGTTTACTTCATGTTTTATGTTAGCAGCAAGGAATCTTTCAAGTGTGAAATTCAGGAGTAGAAATAATAGCCTATGGACCACCTTGGTTGCTTTGAAAGAGGGGCCCCCACACCCCAAGGGGCAAGATGCTGGGTTAAGGCCAGGCAGTCTCCTGGGTGGCCCAGGCAGCAGGGGGAGACTCTATAACAGAGCCTGGGGTAGATCAATGGGTAGGTGAGTTGGAGGGAGTACTCAGTGGTCACACACAGGTCTGCAGCCAATGGGATTCTAAATGAGGCCAAGTCTTTTAGGCAGTGACCATAACCTGATCAGTTCAGAGAATATTTCATAAATTATTCCAGTGTCAGACTTCCATGAAAGACTGGCAGGGCACAGAGAAGCCAGGTGGAGGGGTCCAGCCACTGCACCTCCTTGGACCAGCAGGAAGTTAGGGTCCCCTTCGGGGAAATGAGGACATGTACGTGCTTCCTTCTCCTATAACCCTAGATTCATCTTCAGAAGGGAGATTATCTGAGGAACCAAGTGTTTTATCCCAGAAAGGCTAAACATCACCTGGAGGGATGGTCTAAATAATCAGGTTGGGTAAAATTGAAACTGGATCAGCATTTACTTATTTAATTATTTACTTATTTATAAAATGACAAAATTAATTATAGTCAAAATAAAAGAACCATCGTGTGTGTATATATGTACATATGAGTATGAGTGCATGTATTTGTGTGTGTTTATATGTATATATGTATATATGTGTGAGCATATGTGTGTGCACATGTGCACGTGTGTATATGTTCGCATGTATACTTATGTATGTGTATATGTGTGGCATTTGTCTATATGTGCATGCACGTATGTACATATATGTATGTATATATGTGTGCATTTATAGTTTTGCATGTATATATGTGTGTGATGGTGTATATAGATGCATGTGCATGTGGCATTTATATATATGTGTGTGAATGTACATATATGTGTGTGTATACACATACGTACCTATACATAGTTGCTCCTCTATACCTACAGGATCAGCACCCATGGAGTTAATCAACTGAGGATCAAATACGTAGTTAGGACTATGATGCTTCAGTATTTGTACTGAACAAGTACAGACTTTTTTCTTTTTATAATCTAAACAATACAGTATGACAGCTATTTATATAATAGTACTTATATTGTATTAGGTATCATAAGTAAGCTAGAGATGATTTAAGGTACATAGGAGGAGGTGTACAGATTTCATGCAAATGTTTTACCATTTATATAATGGACTTTAGTATCCACAGATCTGTGTATCCACAAAGGCTCCTGGAAAAAATCTCTGGGAGATACTGAGAGTCATTGGTATCTATATCTGTCTATATCTATATTGATAGGTATGAATATGGATATAGATACAGATATGAATATGGATGTGGATATGGCTATGGATACAGATAGATATGGATATAAATATATAGATATATAGATAGGTATATATGAAATAGATATGGATATGGATATAGGGAGATACAAATAGACACAGATATATAGACAGACTATAGACATAAACATACATAGTTATAGAAATGGATATAGATGTGAATACAGATATAGATGTAGATATGTATACAGATATAGATATAGGCATAGACATAGAGATATGGATATGGATAGAGATTTGGATAAGGATATGGAGGTAGATACATAGACATAGATAAAGATGTAAGTATAGCCTTGGGTACAGGTAGAGTTAGAGAGTTTATTTCAGGTATTGGCTCCCATGGTTGCAGAGGCTGGAAAGTTCATAATTTGCAGGGTAGGCCAGCAGGCTGGAGACTCAGGGAGGAGTTGTGGTGTGAGTCTTTAGGCTGTCTGCTGTCAGTGCCTCTTATCCTTCAGGGACGGTCAGTTTCTTCCCCATTAAGTCCTTCGACTGATTGAACGAGACCCACAGACGTTAAGAACAGTAACCTGCTTTACTCAAAGTCTACAGATTTCAATGCTAATTTCATCAAAATACTTTCACAAAAACGCCTAGAATAGGATTTGATCAAATAACTGGGTACGAAAGCCCAGCCGGTACCACTTAGGAAAACCCAACTCCAAAGAGCAGGTTTCTTCATCAGGTTGATGGGAGCAACAGTCTCATCCCTCTGTATTCACGTGCTCCCGGTCCTCTTTGTAATTTCATGTCCTTTGTCTACCCAGCTTCCTCATCTTGGCGAGCCCTTCCCCATCCTTGCCTCCTTCACCACTGGAAAAAGTCCACTCACTTTCAAAGTTCAGATAAAATGTTAATAGTGTGGCATTTTAATACCACATCCCATCCTGAAGATTTGATTCCTTTCTCGGCGCTTTATGGCTTTATGCCTATACTACGGTATGCTTTGTCTCATTGTGTTGCAACTGGGCTTGCTTCAAACAACGTATCAACAGTGATTCCACACTTTCCAGGTCTAACCCTGACCTCAGCAAGTTACCCAACCTCTTTATGCCTCTTCATCTGTAAAATGGCGCTAACATAGGACCTTCCACCTGTTTGTAGTGAGAACCTATTGAGTTATATGTGAAACCCTTCAGAAAATGTGCAGCATATATGGTAACTGTTTTCCTTCTTAGTGCTATTATTGTCATTAATTCTTATGTCAGCTGGATAGACTGGGCACTTCTGAAAGTTGAGGATCTAATCCTCTGCCTCTTTGCATTCCTCCCCCTGTACTGTGTGGGATAGGTCAGGGATCTATGGACGTTTACAGGGTAGTAGTCATCCACCCATATCCATGTGCTCCATGTCCTTGGATTCAGCCAATTGAAGATTGGAAATATTTGAAAAAAGTTGCATCGGTATTGAACATGCCCACTTCTTTTCCTTATGATTCCCAAACAATACAGCACAACTACTGGCATGGCATTTGCATTGTATTAGATTTTATAAATAATCAAGAGATGGTTTAAATATACAGGGAGATATGCATCAGTTGTACACAAACATGAATACTCTGCCATTTTATAGTAAGGATTTGAGCATGCTGGGATGTTGGTATACTCGGTGGGTCTTGGAACCAATTCCCTTGAATACCCAGAGACAGCTGTATATAGAACCTCCTATTTGTAGAGCATTCTTCAGTATACAAAGGCTGGCAACGTCATCACCCATTGGAATCTCAGGACAACCATGAAATATAGTTATAATCCCATTTGACAGACGAGGAAACTGAGAAGCAGACATGGGACTTGCCCAATGTCACACAGAGCCGGCAAGTGGCAGTCACCACCTGTCAACTCCAAAGTCCTCGGAGAGGTGCAAAGATGCCAGGGGTCCCAGGAAAGTTTTTCTTTTCTGTCCCAGCCACCACCCTTGGTTCCTCCATATCTTTCTTCTTCCTGCCGAGAACAGGAACATCACGGAGTGGAAGGCCTCCATCCCACTTCAGAGCTGACTTAGGGGAGGGTGGGGCAGAAGAAGGCTGCTAATACAAGATATCCTCAGCCGTGACTGTGGCCTCTTCGATTTTGGTTGTGATCTTAGGGAGGGGAATTTGACTGATGGCCACCACGACCAGGTTTGCAGCATGAGCCGAAGCACTAGCCACGCAGATCCAAAAGGACTGTTCGTACTGCTCTTCCAACACCACAAACTTAAACAGCCTCTCTTGAAAGTTTGCAATTCGCTCCGTCAAGTTGTGAAATTGTACCTCTGCCATGAAGCTGGCGATGGCCAAAGCCACGACTCCACCTGAAACCCAGAAAGGGCACGCTCATTCCTGGCTCCTCTTTGCAATGGTAATGACTTTGGGGGAGCTATAATTTCTGAGGCACGGGCAGCAAACTTGCTGTAGGTTTAAAAAATTACTAGGAAGACACAAATTTCAATTTGCTTTTTAAAAGCTGCAGATAACCCACACAGTGTGAGGGGCAAGAGGCAGGGTTGTGTGGGGCAATGAAATAGGTTTTAACTCAGATCCACTTTGCATCTCTATCCTTCTCATTTTGCCCCCTTCCCCTCTACCTTCCTTTCTAAGAGGCACCTTCAGAGAAGCTCAGGTTGTTTGTGTCTTAGGATCGTCGTGTAGTACCTGAGGGCTGTGAGGGAAGATGTAAGAACCCTGGCTGGTGCCGGGGCTCACTAGGCTAATCCTCCGCCTAGCGGCGCCGGCACACCGGGTTCTAGTCCTGGTTGGGGCGCCGGATTCTGTCCCGGTTGCCCCTCTTCCAGGCCAGCCCTCTGCTGTGGCCAGGGAGTGCAGTGGAGGATGGCCCAAGTGCTTGGGCCTGCACCCCATGGGAGACCAGGAGAAGCACCTGGCTCCTGCCATCGGATCAGCGCGGTGCGCCGGCAGCAGCGCGCCAGCCGTGGCGGCCATTGGAGGGTGAACCAATGGCAAAAGGAAGACCTTTCTCTCTGTCTCTCTCTCACTGTCCACTCTGCCTGTCAAAAAACAAACAAACAAACAAAACAAAACAAAACAAAAAAACACAACCCTGTGCAGGCTGGGGTTTCACCCCCAGGTTTGGCTGTGACTTTCCTCTTTATATTTCCATGCTCGAGGGTGAGAAGAGGGCTTAGAAAGAGGCCATGAAAGGAGGAAACCTGGAAACACATGGAACTTTGCTTATTTTCTGTCTGTTGCTTAAAATGCTGATGTGCTTCCTCTCTCTCTCTCTAAAACATTTTAAAAACATATTTGGTGGTTTTTTTTAGATTATTACATCTTCTGAATAAAACTCGGTCACTAATGAGAATCATAAACATGAAAGCACAAATTTGCTTTTATATTCTGTTCGAGCACAACTTTAAACAGGTGCATAATATTTTATTCAGGCGACACACTGTAATTTGTTGAAACATGACCTGATTTATGGGTATCTAAATTACTTCTGGATTTTTTTATGTTATCCAATGCTGCAGAGAATAATGTGTTATGTACACCTTTGTGCTCTTGTCCTGTTATTTCCCAAGTGTTAATCCTCATGTGGCATTGTTCAAAGGCCGGTCACAATTATATGCCTTTTGACACTGATGCTTTGTCCAATTGCCTGCTTTTTAACACTGTCATCAGTAGACTTTGGTAGTACAATATTTCGAGGAAGGGAATGGACAGAGATAAGTGTTTACTTAAACAGCAGGATTGAGCTGCTATGAGGATTCATGCAGAGATACACGAGACACCTGAAGTCTGAAGGAGGGTGGGCTATGCATATAAACAGTTCTAGAAGGTGGCCACTGCCTGCAAACATAGGCAAATACATAAGAGTGACTTCCTGCTGTTACATTATAATACATGATAACGTGAAATTACTTGCTTTTATTCCTCAAGGTCATCTTGTATAGGGTAAAGAAATTATTATTGTGATGGTATCGTTTGATGTGGATTCTCAGAGACGACTCTCATTTTGTAATTTTCATTATAAATGATTTTGTTAATTAACCAACAAATTCATTTGTCATTACTAAATGTGAATTAACCAACGTCATCAATATACTCCCAAATCAACACCCACACCCACCCCCCACACACCCCCTCACCTTTTGTTGTAGGTTTTGGCTTGAAAACATAGGTCGCAATGGTTATCAATGAGAACATGGATCAATAAAAGGATGAAGGGCCTAGACTCAAGTACACCTGGGTTAGAATCCCACTCTTGCTGCTCATTGTTGAGTGATCTTTGAACTTCTGCGAGCCTCAGGCTCTTAGTCTGCAAGCATGGGTCTAAAATACCTCCTGGTAGGGAGTTATGAGGTGTGAGTGAAACAGGGTTTGTAAACTCTCAGGTCCCCAGGCCTGTGCCTGGTAGGTAGCAGCGTGATGAGGGTAAGGTCTAGAGGAGGTGTTTGGAGAGTTGGGGCGGGGCAGGTGCATGACCGCATTACTGTGCCCAGGAAAGGACTATAAGGCCACTGGCCGCTAGAGGGCGCTCACGTCCACCTCGCAACCCAGAGCTGGCCCACAGATGGCTCCCTGGCTCACACTGCCTTCTCTGTCATTTGCAGAGGTCCCTTCCAGCTGCAGCGGCAGCAGCTCCATCTCCTCACCCCTCACGTGATGCCCATCCCCTCCCAGCTCTTTGTTCTCTGTCTCCTCCTTTCACCGAGTTTTCCTGCTGCTCTAAGTTCTCGGTTAGTCACATGCTCTAATTCATGGTGACACACTCTGCAACTTTTAGCACCTGGGACATGGATGCCCATCCAGAAGGCCCAGGCAAGGCATTTTCGTTCCTTCGCACCTTTCCGCACCTTTCGCCCACCTACTTGGAGCCTAGCCTGGGGGCTTCCTTACCTGCCAAGACGTTCCATAGGCAGATGCCCCCGGGGCCATTGACTGCCCGGTAGGGGACCTGGATCATGTTGAGAATGGCAAAGCCCATGCTGACCAGAGCCAGAGCCAAGGCCAGGAAGAGGAGCAGCAGAATCGTCACGTGAAGGCCTGCGTTGAGTTCCTTCACCAGGTGAGGAAAGACTGGGCAGAGAGGACACAGGTGATATGTCAACATCAGAGCTGGGCCAGCTCTCACAAAGCCCGCACTTGCTCCCCACCGAGGCTCTAACAGAGGGAGGTGACGGCCAGACAGCAAGAAGTGGGTTTCCAAAAAACAGGAGACCTCCTGAGATGAACTTGTGACGCTTGGGGTTGCCACATGTCAGTTGGCACAATAATCCTCCTTGGAGTAGACACAGTATCAAAATGTTTGTTGGGGCCGGCACTGTTCTGCAGCAGGTTAATGCCCTAGTCTGCAGTGCTGGCATCCCATATGAAGGCCGGTTCGAGTCCTGGCTGCTCCACTTCCAATCTGGCTCTCTGCTATGGCCTGGGAATGCAGTGGATGATGGCCCAAGTCCTTGGGCCCAACACCCACGTGAGAGACCAGGAGGAGGCTCCTGGCTTCGGATCAGCTCAGCTCTGGCCGTTGCGGCCATTTGGGGAGTGAACCAGCAGATGGAAGACCTCTCTCTCTGGCTCTACTGCTCTCTGTAACTCTATCTTTCAAATAAATAAAATAAATATTTAAAAAAAGTTTGTAATTTAAGTTGCATTGATCTCACAGCTCTGAGATCTGATATGAAATTGTGCACACAAACCACAGGTGTGATTTTGCAAGGTAGACACTATTAGCCCTATGTATGGACACTTCTCTTGTTGCACAATACTGCTTTAAAAATTTTATTTATCTGTTTGAGAGGTGGGGTCGGGAGAGAGTGAGCGAGCATTCTCCCATCTGCTTGTTTCACTCCATAAATGCCTGCAATGGCTGGGGCTGGGCCAGGCCAAACCTGGGAGTTGAGAATCCAACCCATGAAGTCTATGACCATATTAAAGATTTTTTTTAATTTTTTTTATTTTTTTTGACAGGCAGAGTGGACAGTGAGAGAGAGAGAGACAGAGAGAAAGGTCTTCCTTTGCCGTTGGTTCACCCTCCAATGGCCTCCGTGGCCGGCGCGCTGCGGCCGGCGCACCGCACTGATCCGATGGCAGGAGCCAGGAGCCAGGAGCCAGGTGCTTTTCCTGGTCTCCCATGGGGTGCAGGGCCCAAGCACCTGGGCCATCCTCCACTGCACTCCCTGGCCACAGCAGAGGGCTGGCCTGGAAGAGGGGCAACCGGGACAGAATCTGGCGCCCCAACCGGGACTAGAACCCGGTGTGCCGGCGCCGCTAGGCGGAGGATTAGCCTAGTGAGCCGCGGCGCCGGCCCAGTGCTGCTGCTTAAGGCTTGCATTAGTAGGAAGGTGAAGCCAAAAGCCAAAACCAGAAATTGAACCTGGGTACTCTCATTCGGGATGCAGACATCTTACCAACTAGGTTAAACACTCACTCCAATACTTCTTTAAAATAAAATAATGGTTTGTCATATGAATGTGGCAGAGTTCTCCAGTGCAATGTTAATTGGCGTTTGTTTTTCTATATTTGCCACTAGTACTGGGTGTGAACATGATACAACACAATACTTCACATAGTGCCTGGGGAAGTCACTTCTCTGAAATGGTGACCATTGTTGAGGCTATCATTATTTTTTGCTCTCTGAACTGGGAAAGTCACGTGACCTCTTAGACCCTGTTTCTTCATCAGCACAGCAAGGATAGGAATATGTGTGTGAATTAAGGGAGCTCAGCTTTTACTACTTACAAGCTCATTCAATCCTCATGACTGTAGATTTCATGAGGCAGATTTTATTAACTCTATTCATTCACAAGGTTGGAGACATCGAGCCTCTTGGGCAAGGCAACCCTAAATTATAAATAAAATTACAGTCTTTTTTACTGTATGGTATTTAGTTTCGAGTCGCTATTTTCAGTGGCTATAAATGGAGAATTTTAAATTGTGAAAATTAAAGAACTCATACCCACTCTTCTGCAACAACTCCATGGGCTGTGCTAGCTGCCTCCTGAGGCCATCTTCTGAGCACTGCCCTTCGTGCTGTGTCGTTCAATACAGCTGACCAGCTCTCAGTTCATCCTCCTTCTGGCCAGAACTCAATGTTTTCCTGGTTCTACTGTCACCCCTCTGACTGCTTCCCCGGGGCCCAGTTGCTGGCTCCACCCTCCCTTTATTCACTGGAGGTCGCATCTCCAAGCCGGAGAGTTTTTGACCTTCTCCCTGTAAGGCGTATTTTCCACTCACAAGTTTCCAGACACTCCATGGTTACGTCTTAGTTCTAATCTAACTTTCTTTCCAGTTCTGTTTCTATTTATTTTGTCTCCATGTGGTTATCTCATCAGCCTTGGAAACTGTACCCTGGAAGATGAGCTCCTTTCCCGGGAGTTGGTCTTTGTGGGGCACCTTCCTCCCTTGCTTCCATTCCATCTCCTTGTTCTTTAGATTCTTGTTTTTTTTTTTTTTTTTCCCCATCTCTTTTCAAATACTCAGCTGTTTTGTGTTCCAGATATGGTGTCTTATGCCTGATTACCTAATTGTTTCATCTTTTCTTTTTTTATTTAAATATTTATTTACTTATTTGAAAGGCAGAGTTACACAGAGAGAGAGGCACAGAGAGATCTTCTATCCACAGGTTCACTCCCCAGAAGACCACAATGGCCAGGGCTGGGTGACACCAAAGCCAGGAGCCAGGAGCTTCATCCAGGTCTCCCACATGGGTGGCAGGAACTGATTTCCCCGGAGCTGGATTGGAAGTGAAGCAGCTGGGACTTGAACTGGTACCTACGTGGAATGCTGGCATCACAGACGGCTTAACCCTCTATGCCACAATGCCAGCCCCATCATCTCTTTCTTAATCATGAAATCCTACAACAACTACCATAATAATCCTCACCAAAGTCTTTAAATAGTCACCACCTGCTTATGTGGCTGCAAAAGTCAAAATGCTTGCTAATACACCATGTTGATGATGTCTTAGGAGGAGGTACTCTCAAGTCTTGTTAATGCCTGCAACCTTGTTAGAGACCAGTTTGGTGACATCTATAAAAACTTCACTTCTAGGAATTTACATGCACTTCTATGTGTGCTTCAAGTTGTTTATATTGGATATTCATTATAACAGCAAAAGAGTGGAGAAAAACCAACATGTGAGGTTGATTTAATAAACCAAGATACAATCACAAAATGTGGCTTTTAGAAAGAACGGATCATGCCCACATCATGATATGAATCCATATCCAGATCTGACTTAACAGAAAATTGATACATCATCAAGTTAGGGCAATGGGGGAGAGGAATTTGGAGTGCATGGAGAGGCGTGGAGAGGGCTCATAATGAGTGCCCGATCTTCAGCTTCCAGAGTGGGAAGTGGTTTAATTGTATTGAAAGTGAAAAACCTTTATTGGCAAAGCTTATATTCATGTGTTGTACCAAAGGCTCAGGGTCTCTGGGTGATTTGATATCTTATTTTTCATATACTTACAAGTCACTGCATAAAATTGAAATTGTTCCTTGGAACTTTGCACCATTGCTTTCCATTTTTTTTTTGAGAGGTGATTGACAGTAGGTCCTGTCATATGGGATTGCCCCAGCAAAGCTACTGCTCACTTGCCTTTCATATTTGTACCCAGTTTCTTAGGGTTTTGAGTACCTCTGATGTAAGAATTAAATTTAAGTTTTGAGCTTGAAATCCACAACCGTAAAAATATATGATCCCTGGTGATATGTGACAACAGCTCCGTATATTGGAATAGACCTTTTATACACATTCTTTCATCTACTGATCATGGCCACCCCTTCTCGTTCTTACAAAGGAGGAAACTCTAGGCTAATCCTCCGCCTGCAACGCCGGCACACTGGGTTCTAGTCCTGGTCGGGGCACCGGATTCTGTCCCGGTTGCTCCTCTTCCAGGCCAGCTCTCTGCTATGGCCCGGGAGTGCAGTGGAGGATGGCCCAAGTGCTTGGGCCCTGCACCCCATGGGAGACCAGGAGAAGCACCTGGCTCCTGACTTCAGATCAGTGCAGTGAGCCGGCCACAGTGTGCCGGCCGCGGTGGCCATTGGAGGGTGAACCAACAGGAAAGGAAAACCTTTCTGTCTCTCTCTCTCACTGTCCACTCTGCCTGTCAAAAAAAAAAAAAAAAAAAAAAAAAAGAGGAAGCTCAGATAAATTAGTTGTTTAGCAAAAGTCACACAGCTAGGAGTGCTTCCTTAACTACTCTGCTATATTAAAGAGATCTAAAAACTTAGATAAGCAGAGACTTATCTAAGTTCTAATCAGAATTATCTAAGTTCTAACTCTTATCAGAGTTCTAATCATAACATAGCTTGAATTCTAAAGGTCTTATTTTGAGTTTGAATCTTTTTTAAATTCAAGAAGCAGAGAGGGAGAGAGATTTACCTATGAGAGAGACAGAACCAGAAAGAGATAGGGAGCTATCTTTCATCTGCTAATTCATTCTTCAGATACCTGGACAGCCAAGGCTGGGCTGAGACTGAAGCCAGGAGGTAGGGACTCAATCTAGGTCTCCCACATAAGTGGCAGGAACTTAATTGCTTGAGACGCCTAGGGTCTACATTAGCAGAAGTAGGAGTCAGGAGCTGGAGGCAGGTATCAAACCCAGAAACTCCATATGGGAAGTTGGTGTCCCAGTGAACACTTAACTGCTAGACCAAATCCTTCACCAAATTCAAATATTCTTTTTTTGGAACACATTAGTGCTATCTCTCTTGAATACCAGAATTGATTATCATTCTCTCATCCCTGAAACTAGTAGATAATTTGTTTGCTTCTGACCCCAGAGAAGTCTGGAGTCCCCTTTGCCTCAGCAAGGCCAATAAGGACAGCATGACATTGAAGTTAATGGCAGAGTCCCAGGGGAATACTTGTCAGGTGCGAAGTAGGGAGGGAACCAGAGACCTAAAAACTGCAATGCCCAGATTGTGCTACGTGCTTTTACAGAATTATTTCATGTATTGATTTCTTGGATCTTCAATTTCCTAATCAGGAAAATGAGCTTATTAAGATCTCTCCCCTGGTGTAGGAAGAGTTGAAGGAAATGAGCTGCAGGGGATGCCCTGAGATCCTACTGATGCGCCACCAGCCTCCTACACACTCTGCCTCTGCCTTACCAGAACGCAAATTCAACTTCTTGAGGGCAGGCCCTGGTCTGTAATGTTCATGTCTGTTTTCCTAACAGTGTCTGACCCACACGTGCTCAGTAATACAGTGAGGTGCATGGACCCGTTTTGTCTCCTTCCTTCAGACAGCTGGGCGGCTGAATTAATATTTGTCTCTCTCCTTCTCTAGCCACCCAGCCAGGCTGATTCCTCCTTTTTTTCATTTCAGAAGATATGGGATGAAAAGAGGACCACAGTCATTTATAATAGTGCCTTGGTTTTCTTCCCCATGATTTGTATGGGAATAGATTTTTTTCCATGGATTCTATAAGTCACTGTAATGATGAGAAGAGAGGCTGTTTGGAAAGGAGATCTCCAAAACACTCCCTACTCCCTGTGTCCCAAGTACATTCACCTCCATCTCAAGTGGTCTACACTAAGCCTTTGTAAGACAGGATTCCCCCTCTACAGGTCAACAGTAAGTGGTCAAGTAGTAAATGCTGACTCCACCTTGGAGATGGGCAGGGCTCACTAGTTGCCTCTAGTTCCACTGTGCTGGAATTAAAGGACAGTACAGACGTTGCAATGCACTCGGTGTCCAGAGCCTCAGCAGTAAAGGCAGCCCTAGACAGAAAAGCCTGGCCCCAGGCAACCTGTGAAAGCTTTCAAATCGGTTCCTGGGTTCCCTGAATGGAGCTTTAAATACCTCTCCAAGGGCCTGCTCCAGGGCAGTGGGAAACAACTCTTTCTTAAATACTATCCTACTCAGGGCTGATACTCAAACATCCCTGATGCCTGATGCTTCAGAGCCCAGACCCTGCTGGATGAATTCAGGAGGATGTATGTCTACTGAGTTCTTCCAGCAGGGAAATGGAACGCTGCTGATTTACTCACAGCTGCCCACAGCAGGAAGTGTACGTCTCTTGAGACGGGAACGCTCAGGGACTTCTCATGAGGTGGACACTGATACAGGATTTCCCTTTAAGCATCACATTTGTCCCAAAGACATCCTTTTTTTTTTTTTTTTTTAATTTATTTGACAGATAGAGTTAGACAGTGAGGGAGAGAGAGCAAAAGGTCTTCCTTCTGTTGGTTCACCCCCAAAATGGCTGCCACGGCTGGAGCTATGCCAATCTGAAGCCAGGAGCCAGGTGCTTCCTCCTAGTCTCCCAGGCAGGTGCAGGGCCCAAGGACCTGGGCCATCCTCCACTGCCTTCCCGGGCCACAGCAGAGAGCTGGACTGGAAGAGGGGCAACCGGGACTAGAACCCGGTGCCCATATGGGATGCCAGTGCCGCAGGTAGAGGATTAACCAGGTGAACCACAGCGCCATCCACCCCTCCACCCTGCAAGACATCCTTTACAGCAAAGAGGTCCAGGCCAGAGCCAAGTGCTCCAACCAATGGTCATGATTCCCTTTTAATCATTTCCTTTGTCTGCATTTCCTGTTTATGTGTGTGTATCTTCACCTTCTATATTGCTTTTAATGGAGCTATCTTTTCCAATAGCCAGGGTCCAAGTTAATTGCTGGATAAATAAAAACATGCCCTGGGATTTTTTTCTTGAATATACACAACAAATACATATTTTCTTCCTGTATTTGAATGATGACAATTTGAATTATATTTATCAACATTCCATCTCTCTCTCTTTATACACTTTAGACACTTACCTCGGTCAGGTTTCTAAAAACTACTGCAATTCTGAAATATATAACTCAAGTAATGAATACAATTCTCTGTCCCTTTGTGTTAGCAGCGAGTTGAGGACTTTCGGTTTAGAACTCTGTCCTCACTAGTGATCTAACTCTGATTCCAAAGGCTTGCAGAATACTGCCTCTCTTTAACCTAAGCTCAGCGTGGATTCCTGCCTCTCTGGCATTAGTACATCCTGGGCAGCTCTGAAGTGAGACTGAACAGGGGCCAAGGTCGGTGCTGCTCGGGTTCCGGGAGAGGGACGAGCTCCTGGCCTCAGTACTCTTTGCCAGTAAACAGCAAAGTTCAGCGGCAAAGCATTTGATTCCAGGGCCCGGGAGCACAGACCCTTTGCTTCTTCTCAGAGAGCGTCTGTGAAACTTTTCTGTCACTGAAAGCGGTTGCCATGCTTCCCGAAGGTTGCCTTCTACACCTGCACGTGCCTGTGGCTGAGAAGACCCGAGTCACATGGCGTGGGTCTGGAGTCTCGCCCTGCTGTTTCCTGGCTGGGTGACCTCAGGCAAGTTACATAACCTCTCTGAGCCTCAGTGCATTTCTCTGCAAAATGGGCACATTAATAATTCCTTCTTTCTCAGTTTGCTGTGAGGCTTAAAAGAGAAGAAGCAGTGTGAAGGGTTTTAGTACAATCCCTGGCACAGGTAAGCATTTGGTAGTTATTTTTAGCAGAGATAAACTACAAAGCTAGACAGTTTCCTATTTCTGATTATTTCTATAGAATTATTTCTATATGCTTCTACAGAAAAGGAGAGGCTAAAGGAAAGAAAGGAATGAGGGAGGAAGGAGGGATGGGAGGAAGGCAGGCAGGTCAGCTGGCTGCTTTTGGGTATAGAATAAAAATCCCAGCTCACTGTGGACTTGCACCGGGTGCCTCACTCAGACCGAGGCAGCAGCCACATTCCACATCGAGACATAAGCACCCTGTAAAAGTGTCTGAACCAGCTTTCTCGACCCCAATGTACTCACTCGTGAACTGGGACTGGCGTCCACCGAGCCCACACTGTCGCACCTTACACCCTCGGAAGAGCCCGTAGTAAATGTCTCCGATGAATTTGACCAGCTCTGGATCCGTGGCATTGACCAGCTCCACTCCAGTCTGACAAAGGATTTTCCCACTGAGCCAGTGGGGTACCGCCAGGGCAGCGAGGATCAGGAGGAAGGAGGAGCAGCTGAGCACAGACGCCAGCCCATACCACGCCTTTTTGAACCATCCAGGCATGCTAGTGGGCGCAGGTCATCCCCAAGGTCTCCGAGCACCAGCGGGGGTCATCCACATCTTCTCAACACGCAGCACTGCCAGACCCCCCGTAACGTGCAGCGTCAGGATTCCAAGTCCAGTCCTCGTCCTCCCACGGCGTCTACTAGGGCCACATCCGGAAGCCTGCACAGAGACTTTCTGTTCACCTGTCTCTGCTCAGCGGAGTGTGTTACTGAAGGAAGTAACCCTATATCTCCCTCTCGCCTCATGTTTCTGCGCAGGCTTTAATTGTTCCCCACTGCAAATAGATAAAATAACTCTGGTGTGGACCTCAGAACCACGAGGGAGTCACTAGCAGGCAAAGCCAGGTACACCTGACCACAAAGAGATGCTAACCAGTCTCAAAAAAACAAAACCAAAACCAAAAACACCCGCAAACAGTAGGAGGAAGACAAAGGCGGAATGATTGTCTCCTGAATATTGCCAAGAGCGCACGGTGTCAAGTGTCGATCTCTTTGATGCTTGCCCTGGCATTTCTTTCTCTAAAATGTCACTGCTGTCAGAATCCCCAGAACTATTACGGATGCCATGAGATGACTGCTTGCTCTTCAAGCTTTAACTGAAATGTGTAAACAAGGCTTTGTGGACGTCACTGGGTGACTTTGCCAGGATAAAATTGCAACGTGAGTCGCTTTGTGGCTGTTGGGGCAGTCTGGACCTTAGCACTTGACATCCCTCTTCTTCCCACCTTCCATATCAGCTGAAATAGGGGCAGAAATAGGTTTTCCTGTTGCATTACCCAATAGCGGTCTTACTGCTGGGATATTCCTCTCTTCTAAAACCAAAGATAGGGGCTGGTGTGGTGGTGCAGCAGGTTGTGCCATGGCATAGAACTCCAGCATGCCATATGAGGGCCAGTGCAAGTCTTGTCTGCTCTACTTCCCATCCAGCTCCCTGCTAATACACCTGGAAAAGCAGCAGCAGATGGCCCCTGCCATCTATGTGGGAGGTCTGGATAGAGTTCAGGGCTCCTGCCTCAGCCTCACTCAGTCCTGGCCATTGCAGCCATTTGGGAGATGAACCAGCAGATGGAAGATCTCTCTCTCTGTCACTCTGCCTTTCAAATAAATAAAAAATTAACCAAAGTGATGATAGGCCTTTTCCTTTTAATCTGCAGACACTAGCAATGAAATATGCCTTACTCTCTATGTCGTATTGTGGTTTTTAGAAGTTTGACTTTTACTCTATTGCCAAATGTCAGCTTGCTATCATGTGAGACTGGCAACAGCCATTCTGCCTTTACCTTGGGGGAGCAAAATTGGTGAGAAGCAGCACAGTGTAATTTCCTGATTGGCTGCAGAAGTCTAGAGAGGGGTCCAGGAGCTTGCACTGTCAACCAGTAGAAGTCCCACGAATGCCGTTTGGAGAGTGCTCAGTGGGCAGAGGGTCGTGTCAATGGGAAGGTCAGTTTGCTTCTTACCATTGGGGTTCACTTCAGCGCCCTGAGCTGAAAATAAGGACAAGACTCTCTGAAGAGACAGTAGTGCTTTACCACGTACAAAGGGCTTGTGCCATTGGCCAGCCACCTTATATGGTGGCCAGGGGAGGGACTATTCCAGCTGCTTCTCCCATAGAAAACTGCATATCTCAGCTGGGACTAGAATTGAGGTTTAGATTTACAACATCTCAACTTCATGACAATGACCCTGAAACAGCCAATGTTTTTCTGATAATAAATGACTTCATAATACGAGGGTACAAGCTTCGAAGGCTATTTGGCACATTAATGTGATCAACAGTGTCAACACTGGGCGTGTTTTGAGAAGGCAGGGTGTGTGTAATACCTTTGGGGGTGTGTATCTGCCCTGCATGATGAACCTATGCTGACTTTTGGTATTTTAGGGGTTAAGCAGATTCTTAAAGAAAAACTCTTAAGGTAAACACCAATTCCCAAGTTAAGGGGTGTGGTTAAGTGCACTTCTAAGTCTAGCTATGGAAGATCTGGCTTCAAATTCCTCTTTCTCTGGGAAAGAGTCTGAGACCCTCAAACTCTGTTTTTCTGTCTGTCATGGAATTACTGTGTGGAGTCAAATGAACTAGCACATAGCACCAAATAAATGATGCTGCCTTCTCCAGGGACTCTTCCAGCTATGAAGCTTCTGACGATAAACCCCATTGCTGGCCGCATCCTGTTCTTTAAACATTCATTTCTGCCTGTCTTACCTGTACCAATTTGTTGAACAAACGTCTGTGTCTGCTGGGTACAGGGCATTGCACGTGGTGGGAGGCGGCATAGGGATGTTTAGCACAGGACCCTGTTATCAGGAAGTCACAAAAGTGTTAGGGTACAGGTTCCCAAACAACAGTGATTTTGCTCCCCAGGGACATTTGTCACACACTGGAGACATTTTTGATTGCAGTGACTGGGCAGCCGTGGCCTGCTAGTGAGCATCTAATGGGTGGAGCAGAACTGCAGGACTGTGTGGCTGGGGAAGGGTGGCACCATTTGGGGGCCCTTACATGTGGGTCTTCGATACTCTTGTCAAATGAGGGCTCCCAGTCACAGGCCCAAGGAGAGGGATAACCCTTTGCAGCATTAAATTTGTGCTCCTACCAGACCAAGAGCCTATTGTGCCATCACAGGTAAGAGAAACTAGTTAGGTTAGTTAGGTTAGGTTAGACTTAGGCAGATAGCTAGGGACAGGAAGCAACACAGTGTGGAGGGCTGCCTCTGCCTACCAGCCAACACAAGAAGGGGGCTTAAAAAAGCAAAAGTCTGGAGACTGAATTGACAAGGTCACGGGAGAAAACCCTGTGATTGAAAGTGACAAGCCCAAGGCTACGAGCTGCGGGAGAGGGGGACACTGGCTAAACCATATCACACCCGGACCAGGGACTGACCCAATGGGAGGAGTGGGGCGGCAGATGGAAAAAACAAGGCAAAAACAGACCCTAGGAGGGCCCTGTTCAAACCTTGGAGGGTATGAAACCCCACATCACTTCCTTTCAACACTTTTTCTTACTGAGAAAAGCCCCTCCCAGCTACTTTCCCGGGAGTTTGCTCCTTTCTCTACAGCCTTGCTTTCTTCTAAACTGATTCCTCTGGGTCCCTACCTTCACACTTCCTCGTCAGGGGACACAGGCCCAAGGAACAACCACCCATGCCTGCTTCAGTGCCATATGGCCTAATAACTTCCTAGAATCTTGCAGTTTTTTCCGTGGTATTGGGGTGTGTGTGTGTGTGTGTGTGTGTGATTGTGTGTGTGTGTGTAGCCTTCACGTGTGAAGTGTAAACATTTAAAGTATAAGGTACTACAATTTCTGTATCAATGTTTTGGCCATTTTACATTTTTTAAGCATAGCCCCAAATAGATTCATTTAAATATCCCCCACCTGCCAGAGACATGGAACTTAATTTCTGAACGGCTCAGCGCGTCCTAAGGGAGCTGCAATTAGACAGTATTAATAATGTTCAACAGGTGTTTATTGAGCGCTTTCTACTTAGCTCTACATTACTTTCGACCACCTTACTCACATTGTCTGACCACGGGCCACTATTATTCCCATTTTACTGGCGACGAAACTGAGGCACGAAGCAGTTTAGGAAGTTGCTCAAGTCACACAGCTGTTGGATATTGGGGCCAGGCTGTGGGGCTTCAGAGCCCTCACTTTCACGTGGAGGAAAAATATATTTTGTCTTTTGTGGTCCGCCTAGTCTCTCCAACGGGCTGTCCACTCCGGGAGCGCGGGGACCACCGACACGCGCTCTCCACCTGTTGGCCCCCGGCACGAGGCGGCGCTTGGCGGTGCGCGCGCCCTCGGAGCGGCGCGGTGCGGTGCGGGCGTGGCGCTGCGCCGGGGAGCGGGTCCCGCGGGTGGCCGTGCGCTAGGCGGCAGTAGCGGGCGCGGCGCGGGGCGCGGCCGCCGTGCGGTCGCTCTTGGCGGCTCGGGCTGGCCGGGGCGGGGCGCGGCGCGGCGCTGGGGCTCCGGGCGGGCGGAGCCGGGCAGACGGGCCAGGATGGCGGCGGCGGCGGCTTCGGGCGAGGCGCGCCGGGTGCTGGTGTACGGCGGCAGGGGCGCGCTGGGCTCGCGATGCGTGCGGATGTTCCGGGACCGGGACTGGGTAACGCTGCGGGGGCTGCGGGCACAGGGGTGATTGGGGGTGCGGGGAGCTCCAGAGCCGCCCACAAGGGCAGGGAGAAACTGGGGGCCGCCTGTGCAGCCCCTGACTCGGGCGCCTGCTGGCGCACCCTGTCTCTGAGAGCTGGCGATCCTTGACACTTGGTGCGGGCCCTTGGCTCTGCAGGGGGAGTGGTGGAGGGGTTGAGTCCTCCGTCTCCGCCAGGCCCAGAAAGTCCAGGTGGCTCCAAGAAGAGAGTGGAGAGGGAAACTCAGGAATTAGACCGCCTGGCTCGGTTTGCCAGCCCTCGACTGTGGACAGATCGCTTAACGCCCGCGAGCCTCGGTTTCCCCGTTTGTGAAGTGGGGACAATGCTGGTGCTTACTCCTTGCCGGAGTTGTGAGGAATGAATGAGAGTAAGAGGTGTCGTTACATGTAGGTTACCTGACAGGTGATCCACGCTGTTCGAATGCTAGCCGGTTCCCTTCGCTCTGAAGCAGGAGTGGGGGATGTAGGGTCCACCGGCCACATCAACTTATTGGGTCTGGCCTTGCCAAGACACCCGCAGGCGGGCCTGCAGATTGAGTAAATATACAGCAGGCTAACATTTTGAAGTTGGTAATTTTGTATGGTCCGGGGATGTTGTTATAAATATCCAAATGGCCTTTGACAGCAAAAAACACTCCCTGGCCCTGCAAGGGCTCAGCCCGGGAAATGCCGCTGGCTTCTTTGCTTTTCACAGAATATCTCAGCTGCTTGCATGGGCAGGTACTCACTCCTAGAACCGGATGAGTGGAGCCGAGCTGGTAGGTGGCCAGGGACCCTTGACCCCAGCTGCACAGCAGGGCTCAGGACATGTGTCTTCTTTGCTGTCCCTTGGTCAGAGTCCGCTGTGTTGCTCAGGGCACCTTCCTGGGAGTTGAGTTAGCAGCTGCCATAGTTGTGGGCTAGGGAGAGTCCTGAGATCCCAAGGATTTTCTCCTCCTCAAAATCTAGTGTAGGAATATGCTTCTAAAGGAGTCCAGATGCACCACACCCTCCCTGCCGCCGTGCACCTGCTCAGGACCTGGAGTGACGGATGAGGTCCGCTTCCCAGGCTTGCAGAGATGGTGCACAGGAGTGTCTGCCTAGGCAGACTCTTCATCTCCCTCCATCCTCCTTGTCACTCTGCCTGTCACAGGTGGAAGGCTTGCTCCCCGCTGGTGGGGGTGTTTTGGTTTCCCTTTGACTTGGTAGAATTTACCTCTGACACCTGTTCTTCCCCCTTACTTCCTGGCACCTGTGTCTCAGTATCCCTATGTCCTGTGGCATAACAGTGATGAGTGCGATGGGATGGATGCTGTGTTCGCAGCTGATGGTAGAGTTGTTTACCTCTGGGGCCATTGGACCCAGGGACCTTGGAGGTTTGAAGGCAGGCTGGACTGGGTTAGGGTGCAGCAGGGCTCAGGATAGGCTGGCCCGAGCCAAGTGCACCTGTAAGGAGTGCAAGAGATCAGTTGCCAGTTCCTGTCCTTAGTGGGTTTTCTTTTCTTTTTTATTTTTATTTTTATTTTTTAATTTTTTGACAGGCAGAGTGGACCGTGAGAGAGAGAGACAGAGAGAAAGGTCTTCCTTTGCCGTTGGTTCACCCTCCAATGGCCACCGCGGCCGGCGCGCTGCGGCCGGCGCATTGCGCTGATCCGAAGCCAGGAGCCAGGTGCTTCTCCTGGCCTCCCATGGGGTGCAGGGCCCAAGGACCTGGGCCATCCTCCACTGCACTCCCGGGCCACAGCAGAGAGCTGGCCTGGAAGAGGGGCAACCGGGAAAGAATCCGGCGCCCCAACCGGGACTAGAACCCGATGTGCTGGCGCCGCAAGGTGGAGGATTAGCCTAGTGAGCTGCGGTGCTGGCCCCTTAGTGGGTTTTCATTTACAGATTGGAATGAATCCTTAATCCAAAAAATCCAAAATCCAAACATCTACAAAATCTAAAACTTTTTGAGGCCTGAGATGATGGATACCACAAGTGAGGCATTCTACACCAAGAGACTGTTTCCTGCACAAAGTTATTGAACATATTGTGTAACATTGTCTGCGGACTATGTGTATAAGGTGTATATGAAACATGAGTTCATTTCATGTTTAGACTCAGATCCTGTCCCCAGGATATCGCATTACGTGTAAGGAGATAGTCCAAAACCTGAATAAATCTCAACCCTCAACCCTTCTAATCGCAACACCTGGGATAAGGGGTGCTCACACTGTGAGCCCCGGATGTGTCTCCTCTCGCCCCGTTTCTGGGTGCTGGTCTTTGAAAAAAAAACAAACAAACAAACAAAAAACAACAGCCTGTTGTCTCTCACCAAAGTCGTTTTCCCTTTGCTCCAGTGGGTGGCCAGCATCGATGTGGTGGAGAACGAAGAGGCCAGTGCCAGTGTCGTCGTCAAGATGACAGACTCGTTCACGGAGCAGGCTGACCAGGTAAGTCCAGAGAGCTCCTGCAGCCTCTTGTGGGAGGGGAGCCCCTGGGAGGAACGCCCACCGTGGCTTCTTCCTTTCTCTGATTGCGACAGCTGTTTGTGGTCGGACATTTAACTTTGCAGTGAAGCTCCCAATTTTTGAGGCACCTGCATCTCACAGCTGAGTGCCTGGGTTCAGTGCTTGCTTCTGGCTCCTGACTCAGCTTCCTGCTGATGTAGACCCCGGGAAGCAGTAGTGAAGGCTCAGGTAACTGGGATCTTGCCACTCACATGGAGGCCCAGATTAAAATTCACCCTGGCCCAGGCCCACCTGCAGGGGGCTTTTGGAGAATGAAGCAGCAGGTAGAAATTCCCTCTGTGCCTCCCAAATAAGTTGAAAGTTGGTGGACAAATGAAATTATAAGATAAATTTATTTTTTTAAAGATTAATTTATTTGTTTGAAAGTCAGAGTTACATAGAGAGAAGAGAGGCAGAGAGAGAGAGAGAGGTCTTCCATCCGATGGTTCACTCCCTAGTTGGCCGCAATGGCTGGAGCTGCGCCGATCTGAAGCCAGGAGCTTCTTCCAGGTCTCCCACGTGGGTGCAGGGGCCCAAGGACTTGGACCATCTTCTACTGCTTTCCCAGGCCATAGCAGAGAGCTGGAAAGGAAGTGGAGCAGCCGGCTCTTGAACCAGCACCCATATGGGATGCCGATGCTTCAGGCCAGGGCGTTAACCCACTGCGCCACAGAGTCGGCCCCAAATTTATTTATTTATTTTTTTAAAAAGCCATTTGAGCTCATGGAAGAAGATTTGGAAAAAGTAAAAATTAAGAATACAAAGATAAATTATATTTCTAGTTAGTTTACTGTTCACTCCTGTTGGCCTATTCTCTTTTCTGTGCATATCATACTTTTATTATTTTACAGGTGGGAATACTATTGTATTTTGTGTTTTATAGTCAGCTTTGGTTTTAACTTAACCTTTAATTTAAAAACTCTTTCAGATCACATATACTCTAGTTGTGGGTATGTAATTTTTCAATTATATGGATCGGCCACAGTTTACTCAGTTTCAACTTATTGTACATTAAAGTTTTTTGCAGGTTTTTTTTTTTTTTACTCTTATCAAGAATACTACGGTGAACATTTTGATCTATGTATCTCCTTGTTTAGGATACATTCTAAAAGTGGAGTTACTGATAGATTATCTAAAATATAAAGTGTAGGAGTGAAATTGACATCTTGAGATTCGATAATTGTTTACAGCCCTTGTCTCCTCTGTTGAGGAACGGTGTTTTTATTCCTCATACTGTTTGTTAAACTCTTTACTTACTTCAGGGTTAATCTTATGAGTATCAGGTAAACTGAAAATTTATCTTTGTAAAAATTAAAGAGTGGGAATAGGAGAGAGAGGAGGAAGAAGGGTGGGGGCATTGGCAGGAGGGAGAGTTGGGTGGGAAGAATCACTATGTTCTTAAATCTGTATTTGTGAAATTTGTATACCTTAAATGAAATTTTTTTTTAAAAGTGAAGTTACTTAGGCCAAAGCATGAACACTAGCAAAACAGGTCATTTTTAATTGTAAAATTATATGTATATTGTAAAATGAGAAATCCAACAAGCTTGTATAAATTATAGGTAAACTGTGAAGTACCCCTTGTCTCTGCAAGATAGTGTCACCCCCTGGAAGGACGCATGTGGATGTCTGGGGACAGATAGCACAATGCTCAGAAGCAAGTCTGCCTCCTGGAGGAGCCGCTCCGAAGTGCCGCCTGGAGGAGTCCGTTTAACGGTCTTCGTGCCAGTGTTCCCAGTGTTCCGGCCCACACTCCCCAGGAAGCCCCCTGATGGTGGCTGTGTCATACACTGTTTTCACCACCACCACCACCCTGCAAGGTGGCTGGGCCCTCTGGTGGCTAGAAACACTGGGTTTGAGAGGCTGAGTGACATTGGCAGTGAGGTGATTAGTGGTGAATGAGTTCAGGTGCCACTTGGTCTGTGATGGGCTCTACTTTTCTGTTTTAAAATTTTTATTTTTGTTTTATTTAAAAGAGAGTGAGAGCGATCTTCCATGCACTGGTTCACTCCAAATGCTGGCAACAGACATAGCACAGGGGAGCCAGGACCTCAGTCTAGGCTTCTCACATGTATTGCAGGGACCCAAATACCTGCACTGTCGCCTGCTGCTTCTCTTACGCACATTGACAGGAAGCTGGAATCAGGAGTGGAGCCAGGACTCAAATGTAGGCCCATGTTGTGGGCTACCAAGTGTCGTCTAATGCCCACCCCGGTCTGCCTTGAGTTGTACCCTCCCTAGTGATCTTCACAATGTTTGCTTTTGTTTTTTAAAGGTTTATTTATTTATTTGAAAGTCAGAGTTACATAGGGAGAGACAGAGATCTTCCACCTGCTGGTTCACTCCCCAAATGGAGGAAACACCCAGGGTGTGGCCAGGCCAAAGTCAGGAGCCAGGAGCTTACTCCAGGTCTCCCACATGGGTGCAGGGGCCCAAGGACTAGGGCCATCTTCTGCTGCTTTCCCAGGTGCATTAGCAGGAAGCTGGATTAGAAGTGGAGCAGCCTGGACTTGAACTGGTGCCCATATGGGATGCCAGCCTAGCTGGCAGTGGCTTAACCCACTGTGCCACAATATTGGCTCTCATTGTTTGATGTTTTATGATCCTTGGCTTTTTTTTTTTAATGACAAATGTGTGAAGTAGGAAAAGACCAGCAAAGTGAAGAAGGAGAATGAATGTACAGTTCCATCATACAGTTAATGTTTTTGTTTGCTTCCGATCTGTCTCTCCAAACATACCTGTAAAAATCTAACAATTTTAAGAATAAAACAGTGGGCATAACTCTACTGCTCATGTGCTTTTTCTAAAGGGTCAGTTTGACAAAGGTTAGAATGTAAAAGCCAGATGGTTTATTCCAGAACACATACAATTGGCCCTGCCCCTGACATCGATGGGAATTGGTTTAGTGTATTCTGTGGATACCAAAATCCACTGATGCTCAAGTTCCTTGTATAAAATGATATAGTATGAAGGGTCTTCAGAAAGTTCATGAAAAAAGAAAGATTTCAAAAACATTTTAAATCATTATTTATTTGAAAGGCAGACAAAGACAGATCTTCCATCTGCTGTGTTACTCCTCAAATGGCTGCAACAGCTGGGGCTGAGCCAGACTGAAGTTGGGAGCTAGAAGCCAGGAGCTCCATCCCGGTCTCTCATGTGTTGGCAGGGCCCATGTCTTTGGGCCAGCGTCTGCTGCCTTCCAGGGCACCTTAGCAGGGAGCTAGAGCAGAAGCAGAGCAGCCAGGACTCAAACCAGGCACTCTGGTGGGGGATGCTCGCATCAGAATTGATGGATTCACCCGATGAGCCACTAAACCAACCCCCAACATTTTCTTGCCCAAATAAACTTTTAATTCCATTTTCCATGAACTTTTTTTGGAGTACCCTCATATTTACATCTGACCTATGTGTATACGTTAAATCACCTCTAGATCACTTATGGTCCCTAAAATAATGTGAATGTGATGGAAATAGTTGTTATATTATATTGTTTAGGGAATGATGACAGTGGAAAGTCTATACCTGGTTAGTACAGGTGCCGGTTTTTTTCCTGAATATTTTCCATCTGAGATTGGCTCATAGATAGGGAGGGTGCTCTGGTAGGGGCTACTGGCATCAGAGCTGATGGACTCACCTGATGAGCCACTAAGCAGCCCCCAACATTTTTGTGCCAAAATAAACTTTTAATTTCATTTCCCATGGTTCATAGATAGGGAGGGCTGACTGCGTTTTTGTTGTTCAAACTTAATATTGCTCTAGTGTTTGCTGTATTTAATTGACAGAGATTGGCCTTGATGAGTTTAATTGTAAAATTCTACAGGTAAATAATAAAATTAGTTGCCAGGCACCACTTTAAGTGCTTTGTTTACATTAACACACCTCATTTCCATAACACCCCAAAACAAAGTTTCTGATTTTATCTCCCTTTTAGAAGAGCATCCTGGTATTTGCCAAGGTTGGACAGGTCAGAGGTGGCACAGCTGGGATTTGAGTGTGGGGAGTTGGGGTTTCTTGCCTGTGTTCTTAATGCAGTGCTAAGCTGCTTCTGAGTGAAATAGCTTTATGGGCACAAGGACTGCTTGGGAGGGCAGTGCCTGGCCTGGGAGAGCAAGTGTGGGTCTCACTGTTTCCTCAGCTGTTAATTGCAGGTTTCCGATGTCCATGTGCGTTTTGAATGTGGAGGTTGTCCCCATCTCATGCACCTGTAAGACAAAGATGGAGCTATGCCTTTGTTATTTATAAGCTTAGCTTTGACTTATTTTTAAAGAAGATTTATTTATTTGAAAGAGTTACACACACACACAGAGAGAGAGAGAGAGAGAGAGAGAGAGAGAGAAAAGAGGCAGAGAGATCTTCTGCTAGTTCACTCCCCAAATGGACACAATGACTGAGCTGGGCCAGGCTGAAGCCATGAGCCAGGAGCTTCTTCAAGGTCTCCCACATTGGTGCAGGGGCCCATGGACTTGGGCCATCTTTTACTGCTTTCCCAGGAGCATTAACAGGGAGCTGGATCAGAAGTGGAGGAGCTGGGACTTGAATTGGTGCCCATATGGGATGCTGGTGTTATAGGCTGTGGCTTTAACCCACAGCACCAAGCACTGGCCTCTAGGCTTAGCTTTTAAAATCTCTACCTAATTCCATAAGCTTGCTCTCTTCCTCAGTTAGGATTTTCTGGACAAATTACATGACATTCAATTTTTGTTTTTAATTTTCTGGCAGAGGAAATTCAATTACAACACAGTGAATTGTAAAATTGGCCTCTTGGGCAGGATACCTTCTAGTGGGAGGAGATAAAGAAGTGAGAAAGGCACTAACTCTGTAGAAGACTGTTGGGTAGAGAGCAACATTTAAGAAGAAATAATTTAAAAATGTCATTTTAATTTACCTAAAAGGAAAATATATATGTTGTACAAAAATAAGTCACACAGGGACATTGTTGCTGCTGTTCCTTGCTTCCCGACAAAGTGGGACATCCTGGTGAAGCATGGATTCTGTGCATACACAGATGTCAGGGAGATGATCCACCCTTGGCAGCTGGGCTCTGGGCTCCTGGCAACAGGATATGGCTTAGGAACAAAGAGAGAGAGCTACTGAGGCTTCTCAGGATCATAGGAGGAAAGTCAGCAAAAGATAAATCAGGACGAGGCAGAGGCCAAGGGAAATTCTGGAATATTCTTCAAAAGAAAGTGTTCAATGTGGAGTCAATATATAGAGAGCATTGTCTTTGAAGGAGTAATCGGAGGCCTCAAAAATTACTGGGGAGAGAGGACTGAAGTGCTACTGGGAGAAGAGACACATGGTCTTGATTTGAGCCCTATGAGGATGGATCTTAATGAAGCCATTGAAACATCATCCCAGCTATTCTGGAGAAATAAGGAAAAGAATTGTGGTTGATGGCAAAACTTTTTATAAATTCTAACAAGAGGGCATGCATTTATCGTCAGTGCCTTAAAATTTCAAACAAACATAGAAGTAGAGAGAGCATTGTATTGAAGACCCCCATCCATCGTCTTCTCATTATTTGCCAATATTTTGCAATTGGCTGTATTTTTTTTTTGCTCTGGATTTTTATGATTTCTGAGGCATTTTCTTTGAGCTAAAGGGATGTTTGGAGGGTGAGGGAAAGAGTAGACTTGATCGTCTCAGATTATAATTGTGTGATCTATAGAGAGTCTGAAAGGAATGTACCTGAATTTTGGCTCTGGGCTGTGAAGCTCAAGGTGATTTTTAAAACCTTTTTCCTATTTTATTAAATTTCTTATTTCCAGGAGTGCTTATATCCTGAATTTTTAGACTGTTTATAAGGAGACTCTAGATTGCTTTAAAAATCATATTGAAATGTCATTAGACTTCGCACCTCAAAATGCTCCTGGGAGATTAATTGTACATCTAAGTTATTGCCAGGTAGCGAAACTGACTTAAAGAGAAGAGAAAAAGAAATGGAGGTTGACTGTAAAGACAGCAGCCTGTAGTGGTTCACCCTCCATCTGCATGTTTCCTGTGTTCAAGGTGACCGCTGAGGTTGGCAAGCTCCTGGGAGAAGAGAAGGTGGACGCAATTCTTTGTGTGGCTGGAGGATGGGCTGGGGGCAACGCCAAATCCAAGTGTGAGTTCTTTTCTGAGTTAATCATTCATCTCATCCTGCTGCTTGTCTGGTTGACGTGGATTGGTGGTGGCCTTGGGGCCAGACCAGCTGCTGTTCTGTGTCTTCCAGAATGTTTATAGTTAATGTTTCTGTTCTACAGAGTGGAAAAAAGCTTCCCATTCAGGGGGACGTGGGGTCTGATGTCTCTAGTACAGGAAGAGTGAAATCAGTATTGTTTCTGCCCCAGGGCGTATTCATATTCAGGAATCAGAGGATGTGTGTCAGTGGAAGGGATCATCTGAAGGTTGAAAGAAGTCAAAATTGAGCTTTTACTGAAGCTGATTACATTTTCAACTCTTCAATATAAACATTTCCAAACATACAGAGAGGTTGAAGAACAGTTCAACAAACACCCTTATGCCTTCCATGTCGATTCCATACAGATGAGATCTAGAGTTGAGCATCTGTAATTCAAAAATTCAAACTTCAAAACTTTTGAGCACAGACAAGACCCCACAAATAGAAAATTCCACATCTGGCCTCGTGTGGTGAGTAACAGTCAATACACTCATACTACAGATAGTCTGTATAATTATCTTCAGGCTATAAGTAGAAATCATAATTGAACATGAAACATATGTTTAGACTTGGGTCCCATCTTGTTATATATGTAGAAATATCCCAAAATCCAAAAGAAAAATAATCTTAAATCCAAAAAACTCAGAAGTCCAAAGCACTTCTGGTCCCAATCTGATCTGATGAAGAACGCTCAATCTATAACAGTTAACATTTGTCCTACTTGTGCCCTGTTGTGCTCTCTTGCTTTCTTGTGTGTGTGCATTCTGTGTGTATCGTTGTCAACTGTTTGAAAGTGAGTTGTCACTTCATATTTCAGCACATAACTACAAAAAATAATAAGCCCAGTCTCCTTCATTATCCTGAGGCTATTGTGCCTAAGGGAATTAGGAGTAATCCTAAAAGATTAACAATACTTGATCCATATTCAAATTTCCCCAGTTTATTCTGTGGTTTTTTTCCCTTGACCATTTCACTCAAGGGTCCTGCCCTGTATTGTGTTGCTGTCATTTTTAGTCTCTTAATCTAGAAATTATTTTCTTGTGATAAGACTTTGTCATGCGTCCAAGGCTTTTTTCATGTCCTCAATTTGACCGTCTCTTCAGGGTATCATTGAATTTGTTCCTCTGTTCCTGATATTTCCTGTGAACTGGGGATTAGCTCTGGAGACTTGACTAGGGTCAGGACAAACATTTTTCAGACGAGATTTCGTCCTAAGTGATGTTGTATTCTTCACTTTACATCACACGGGAAGCTCAGTATGTCCAATTGTCCCACCCTTGGGGGTGCCAGACTTGATGTTTGGTTGCGGTGGTGACTGCCAGCCATCTGTTGTAAAAGCATCTTTTCCTCTTTGCCATCCATGAGTAAGTGATTTGTGGGATGCTTCTTTCGAAGTGTGTGATTGTCCCAAATACTTTTCACCTCAACCACCCATCCATTCTTCCTGCTTCAGGTTACTACACTGGATGTTGGGAGATGGCTGTCTTGGTCTTTGTGTTGCTATAAAAAATGCCCGAAGCTGGGTACTTTATGAAGAAAAGAGGTTTGTTTTGGCGCATGCTTTCAGAGGCCCAGGAGATGGCACTGGTGTCTTCCTGACTTCTGGTGAGGCTGTGTGCTGCTCCAGGCATAGTGGAAAAGCCAAGTGTGAGCCAGCAGATGCAAAGAGGGGGGTGTGGGCACGGGGAGAGATGGGGTAGCTGGCCTGCTTTACAACAACCCTACTCAAGGCAGCTCATCACAGCCCACCAGAACAAGCTCACTCCTGCGAGAACTAATCAAGTCTTGAAAGAACCAACTCTGTCTTTGGAGAAAGACATGAATCCAGTTGCCAAGGGGTGGCCTCATGATCTAATGACCTCTTGATGTTCCCACCACATCTCAATACTGTTAGAACTAGGACCCAGCTTTGACAGTCTTTGGGGGACAAGCTATATCCAAACTGTGGCGATGGTGGTTTTCTAACTTTCATCATCCCTTCTATATTTATTTGGCAAAGCTATTGAGAATTGAAATTCTGTGAGCCACACTTAATTGTGAGATTGGTATTTTATGGGATGGAGAAGTTGACCTAACAGCCTGATAATCTTCTGTGTGTTTTTGGAGCAAGAAGTGCTAAGTAGGGCTCCGTCAGTTTTCTAGTTCATCTTAGCAGGAAACTGTAATTCCTTGGCTAGCACCTGCCAGTTCCTCCTGTATCAGGAGGGATAATTTCTGGGCCATGGGGTTCCCTGTGTGCTGTGATTGCTCGGTTGGTGGCATGACTTGTGTTACAACACATTCATTCTTACGTTTTTGGCAAGGCCAGAGAGTTAAAACAGCATGAAATGGTTGTTGTTTCAGCTTTCTTCTAAAGAGCTTTCAAAGTTGGCATTAAACCTTCAGCCATAAAAATTGTAGCTCTGTAAAAGCCCTCTCTATGGCTGTATGGTGATAGTCTTCTGGAATTTTATCATGGGTAAAACACGACATAGGCTTTAGGTTCTTATTTCACATCTAATGTCCTTCATAGAGGAATATACTCTTTGAATTAATTGCCAAAACAGCAACTCCGCTAATTCCAGATTATTTGCTAAAAATTATTAGCTAGAATGTTACTAAGTGAGGAAGCTGAAATTTGAGTGATGACATAGCTCGGATTTGAACCCGTGTCTCTTTGACTAGTGATCCTGTGTTGTTGTGCTAGGTAGACAGGGATTGAGGAGATTGGGAGGGGTTGAGGGGGCTTCTTTGAGTGTAGGGCTTTGTGTGAGTTGAGCGTTGCGCTTGCCCTTTTGGTTTCCATCCTGAGAACACTGAACCCATGTTTCCCCCCCCACAGCTCTCTTTAAAAACTGTGACCTCATGTGGAAGCAGAGCATGTGGACGTCCACCATCTCCAGCCACCTGGCCACCAAGCACCTCAAGGAAGGAGGCCTCCTGACCTTGGCTGGAGCCAAGGCAGCCTTGGATGGGACTCCTGGTAAAGCCATTTTTCCCTCATCTTTGAAGTGGGACTGCTTACCTTGCCTGCTGGGGCTACTGGGCACTTCTTTGGGATGAGGGTTAGTAAAGCCCTTGACCCTCCAGGTGTTTTGCAGTTGGATTAATTTGGTTTCCTTTTAGGCCAGCATCTTTTAGGGGAGGGTTCTGGCGGCCTCATCGGGCTTATTTATCTCTGATCCACTCAGGAATGGCTTGTGTTGTAGAGATTAATTAGTTCATAGACACATGTTGTTATGACCACACAGTATCCATGGGTTCCAGAAAGCAGCTCAGAGGTTGGAAATAGCCAAGGCTTTAGAAGAGAGACTAGGGTGTCAGTACTTCACCCTAATCTCTGACCAAATTTCTGCTGTAGCCTTCTTAACTGAAAATAGTCACAGTAATATCCAACTTGAAGAGTAGCAGGAAAGCTGTAGAGGTGGAAATGGGTAGAAGGTGCCGAGTACATGGGAGGCAGTAGAAAGGGGTAGCTTTTCCTGAGTTCCCATTAAGCAGCTGCCCGCTGCTTCCTGTATTAACAGTAAGTGGTATGTTCTTATGTTCATTGTAAGTGGTAGGTCTTAAATTTGCAATGAAGGGTAGGTCTTACTACAGCCACTCTTTCCTTTTCACAGATAATCTCATTTAGTCTTGGGGTAGGCATCATTATCTTTTTCTAAAAATTTATTTATTTTATTTGAAAGCTAGAGTTATAGAGGGGCGGGAGGGGGAGAGAGAGAGGGAGGGAGGGAGGGAGGGAGGGAGGGAGGGAGAGAGGGAGAGGTGTCTTCCATCCACTGGTTCACTCCCCAAATGGCTGCAATGGAAACCAGGAGCCAGGAGCTTCTTCCAGGTCTCCCATGTGGGTGCAGGGACCCAAGGACTGCTTTCCCAGGCCATAGCAGAGAGCTGGATCGGAAGTGGAGCAGCCTGGACTGGAACTGGCTGGGCATCGTTATCTGTTCTAACTTAAGCGTTAGGAGACTAAAACTTAGAGAGTTAAAGTAATTTGTATGAGTTTATGTAATAAGTAAGTTGCAAGTGTACTTTGGACTCAAATCCTGACCATTTCCAAATTGTGTGCTTTTTCTATTACATCATGGAGACCTGACTTTCCCTGGGCAGATTTTGCTCCTTGTGTTACTCTACTGGGCCTGCGACAGATTGGGAGACTGAGACAACAGAAATGTATTTCTTGTGATTCTGGAGGTTGGAAGTCTGGCATCAAGTTGTGTGTTCTGAGGGCTCTCTCCTTGGCTAGGAGATGCCACCTTCCCACTGTGTCCTCACGGTCTTCCCTGTGTGTCTGTGTCTTCATCTCTTCTTACAAGAACGCCAGGCGTGTTGGGCGAGGGCCCAGTTTCATGATCTCATTTTAACTTTCTTCCCTCTTTAAAGACCCCGTCTCCAATACAGTGGGGATGAGGACCTCAGCTTAGGGCTCTTGGGGGAATGCTCTCCCCACTGGGAAGGGCTGAAGGAATTTACACTGGGGGCACAAGGAGACAGGATGTGTCTCCCTGCACTACCTAAATTGAACTCTTATTAAAAAGGGAGGCTGGGGGAGAGCTTTTCTGGACCTTGTTAGTAAGAGGCCTTGGACACCTCCTCAGTTTTCACGTAACTCCCTCAATTCTGAGGCTCTGATTAGTAATTTCTTGCCATTCATTTCTTATATTTCTGAGAGCATTTGATCTTGGGTTCATGGCTGCTGCAATAATTAAAACTGTGTAAATGTTAGATGTGCATTTGGTTGAGATCTGAATTTCATTAAAGGGGACACAGCACAGAGGCACTAAAACTAAATAGGAAGATGAGTAATAGCCTGACATTTAAAAATCAAAACCCTAGGGCTGAAAGACTTGTTTGTTTAAAGAACAAGATCCTGCTTGGTTTGTAAGTACAGGTAGTTCTCGGCTTATAATAGTGTTTTGAGGCTTTTTGGAGTTCACTGTGGTGCAGAAGCCTACCCCTATATCTGTTCTGTTGTACACTGCAGTACAGTGGTCAGCACATTATGTGAGATAGTCAATGTTTTGCTATCAGGCAGGCTTTATGTTGGATAATTTTGCCCAACCATAGACTAATGTAAGTGTTCTGAGCACATTTTAAAAAATATAAATGATTATTTGAAAAGTAGAAAGGAAGCAAGAGAGATAGACAGAAAGATGGAGAGAGATCTTCCATCCTTTGCTTTTTTTTCTCTAAATGCCTGCCTGCAATAGATAGCTAGTGCTAGATAAGGCCAAAGCCAAGAACCTGGAACTCAATCTGAGTGTCCCATGTGGGTGGCAGGATCCCAAGTCTTTTTTTTTTTTTTTCTCTTTTAAAGGAATAAGGAGAGTTTATCCCCATTCCTTTTTCCTCCCTCCCTTCCTTCCTTTTTTAAAAGTTATTTATTTATTTTAAAGAGCCATAGAAACAGACGGAGAGAGAGAGAGAGGGAAAGAGAGAGAGAGAGGTCTTCCATCTGCTCAGAGAGAGAGAGAGGAGAGAGAGGTCTGCTGGTTCACTCTCCAGATAGTTGCAATGGCCAAGGCTGGGCCAGGCTGCAGCCAGAATCCAGAAGCTTCATCTGGATCTCTCACATGGGTGGCAAGGGCCCAAGTCTTTTTTTTTTTTTTTAAGGAATAAGGAGAGTTTATCCCCATTCCTTTTTCCTTCCTTCCTCCCTCCCTCCCTTCCTTCCTTCCTTCCTTCCTTCCTTCCTTCCTTCCTTCCTTCCTTCCTTCCTTCCTTCCTTCCTTCCTTCCTTCTTTCCCTCCTCCCTCCCTCCCTCCCTCCCTCCCTCCCTCCCCTTCCTGCCTTCCTGCCTTCCTGCCTTCCTGCCTTTTTTAAAAGTTATTTATTTATTTTAAAGAGCCATAGAAACAGATGGAGAGAGAGAGAGAGGAGAGAGAGGTCTGCTGGTTCACTCCCCAGATAGTTGCAATGGCCAGGGCTGGACCAGGCTGCAGCCAGAATCCAGAAGCTTCATCTGGATCTGTCACATGGGTGACAAGGGCCCAAACACTTGGGCCATCCTCCACTGCTTTTCCCAATGGCTTAGCAGGGAGCTGGATTGGAAGTGGAGCAGCCAGGACATGAACCAGTGCCCATATGGATGCTGGCATTGCAGGTGGTGGCTTTACCTACTATGCCACAACACCAGCTCCTCAGGGTCTCGAGTCTTGAGCTATTGTCTGCTCCCTTCTAGGCGTGCGTTAGCAGGAAGCTGGATTGGAACTGGAACCAGGCCTTTGGTGTAGGACGCAGGTGCCCTAAGTGGTGTCTTCAGCCCAGTGCCAGATGCACATCCCGGCTTTACACTTGAAACAGCACGGGAGTGGGGTTCTTAGGGACACTGTACCTTTAATTCTGTTTTTTCCAGGAACTTGTTGAAGTACCCTCATTTGTCAAAATTTGCTCAAATGGTGTACCTGAACATGTATAGATCATTGCCCTTCAATTATTCCTCAGTAAATTTGCATTAGGAAAAGGTCACGTTATCTTGAGGTGTTTGACCCCTGATTACAGAGGAGAAAACTAACGTGCAGTGATGTTAGGTGATTTCTTGAAGACCACCTAGCTTGTAGCTGGCCAGTAAGCCAGTAAGGAGCAGACTGGCCAAGCGATGAAATGGACTAACTCAGTGGTTGTACTGAGTGCCTGCTTGGGCAGTGGCGAGCTGAGGCTGTGTGTGTGGGAGGCTGGCTGCACTCAGGACTCCCTGGGCGAGCCCAAGGCAGGGAGTGGATTCGAGCACTGCCTTGGAAAAGGAGGTTAGGAATTTGATAACTAGAGCTTAATGGAAAACACAATATATTGTTTTTTTATTTAAACATTTTTATTAGTCAGTTTACTAATTAAAGCATGCAGTAAAAATTCAAATGAGATTAAAATACAGTGACTAGGAAGCCTCCCTCTTCCTAGCCCTGATTTCTACAGCACTCCCTCACCACAGTCTTGTGTGTCTTTCTGGAAGTATTTTATGCATATTCTCTCATGCATCCGTGCACTCTCACATGAACATTCACATGAAAATAAAATGGGCATAGAGCTTAAACCATGGGCTGCTTGTATGCAATATCAGAGTGCCTGGGATTGGGTCTCACTGCTGCTTCCTGCTAACATGCACCCTGGGAGGCAGCAGGTAATGACTCAAGTCCCTGCCACCCACGTGGAAGACCTGAGCTGAGTTCCTAGCTCTTGGCTTCCGTCTGGCACAACCCCAGCTATTGTGGACATTTGGGGAGAGAACCAGTGGATGGGAAACGTGCCTGTCCTTTGCTTTTCAATAAATAAAATTTTAAAATGTTAAATAAAATTTAAAAATTTAATAACGACAACCAAAAAACCCCCAAAACCGAGAACCCCAAAGCACCACTGTCATTTGACGGACCTGTGCAGGTGACTGTGCCTGGCTGTGTTCGCGTCATCTTAGAGTATTGTGGAATATCGTGAATCTGCGGAGTTACTGGGAAGCACACACTTCCTTTAATGAAACAAAGCTCCCAGTTTCTTCGCTAACTCAGCCACAGGTTTTGAGGGCTGACCACTTGATGAACTCCACCCTCGAAGAACTCACCTATTGCTTTTTCCTAACAGCAATGAATCAATACTTATTCAGGGCCACTTTTTGGGCTGGGGATATGTTGGTAAATACAACAATGAAAATCTCTGCTTCAGGGGCTGCTGTTTAGCCTAAGGGTTAAGACACCTGTGTCCCTTGTTAGGGGAGCCCTGCCTGGATCTGGCCCCGAACCCCTGCTTTCTACTAATGCAGACCCTGGGAGGCAGTGGCGATGGCTCTAGCAACTGAGTGCCTGCTCTGCAGCTGGGAACTTGGAGTTGATTTTCCTGGCTGCCAGCTTTGGCCTGGCTTTTATAGGCATTTGGAAGATGAACCAGCAAATCAGAGCTTTCTCTTTCTCTCTGTCTGCCTCTCTCTCCACCTCAAATGAATAAATCAGTCTTTGCCTCTGGAGTTTACCTTGTTCTGGGAATAAGTGGCTTTTGTGCCCTGTTTCGGGAAGCCTTGTGATTTGGACATCGGTGTGACGTTGAGCAGGGATGAGCCAATGCTGAGCGAGCCGCTGACTCGTGCCTGAGGCACAGGGATGAGGACCTGGGTTCCAAGCCCTGGCCTTCAGTCCAGGTTCTGGGTTCTTTCTGGTTGCCGTGAGGCTGCTTCTCATGAGTCTGGGAGCTGTCTTGCTTTCCTTGCTGTTTCTAACACTGAGTGTAGGGACTCCCAGGCAGCAGAGGCTGCCTCTGGCTTTGTAGGCGGCAGAGTGAGGCAGGTGCGTGTGATGCTAATAAGAAAATACTAGTGCCAAGGCCAGACTGTAACACCAGCCATGTCCAAGGAAGCACAGGCCGCCCTCCCCATCCCTGATAAGGGAGTGCCCCTAACTGGCGGCAGACCCGTGGTTGATAGGGAGGGGAGTGATGCGTCATCTTGACAGTCTGAGCGATGGTGAGCTATGGGACAAACATCACTCGCTTCCCACCCCAGCCCCTGGAGAGCATCTCCCAGGTCAGGGGCTTAGCCAGGCCCCTTGTGCACCAGGCTGTGCCTGCAGCCCACGCGGTCAGTGGTCCCCGACACCTGCGGGTTCCCCTTGTGGATATCCTCTCCTTGATCCTTGGCAGGGCCTTGTGGACAGGTTGAGATCTGTGTTCCCACTCCCATTTCCAGATGGAAAATCAGGCTCAGGGGACCTGATTTTTCTGGTGCTTGGTAGAGCAGCATTTTTGAACTCCAGGTCCAGAACTGCCCACGACCCCTCATTGCCAGCTGAGGATAAAGAGGAGTCACCCTGGTGGCCTCTGGGAGCCTGTGTTCTTGGAAAGCCCCAGTCCACCTGCCCCTGTTCCCCTCTCTTTGCTTGCTATCTTTTTGTGGGGGGTGGGTGGTGGGGAACCCTGGAGGAAGGCAGAGGTCAGGTGCAGCTGTGGTGGAGGTTTTGGGGAACAGTTGCTCACAAGAAGTTTGTGCGTCCCTGTGGTCATTCTGGTGGCCACTGGTAACCGAGCTGTTTTGTCTCCTTCCCCAGGGATGATCGGCTATGGCATGGCCAAGGGTGCTGTGCATCAACTTTGCCAGAGCCTGGCTGGGAAGAACAGTGGCATGCCGACTGGGGCCGCCGCCATCGCCGTGCTGCCGTACGTGCTGCCTGACGCTGTCCGCTGCTGAGCACCCGCCTCGGTGCAGGGTCACCCTCCCCCAGGGACGTGCGTGTGCCAGCACCTGGGGTCCTAAGAGCCACCAGAGGCTCTGAGATACTTGTCTTAGGCTGTGTGTGCTGCCCTAACGTGATACCCAATGCTGGGTAATTTGTAAACTACAAACTTCCTGCTCACAGATCTGGAGGCCAGGAAGTTCAAGGTCAAGGCGGCAGCTGGTTGATAACTGGAGAGGGCCCGCTCCTCATAGATGGAGCTGCCTGTGTCTCCTCTCATGCCTCTCCTCTCCAGCCTCTTTAACACGGACCTCACTGCCATTCGTGAGAGGGGAGCTCATGTGACCTGGTGCCCTCCTAAGGGCCACCCCTTAGCACTGTCACATCGTAGCTTGTTTCTCAGCATAGAAATTTGGGCATGGGGACACGCTGAGCACATAGCAGGGCTTCTTCAGGCTTCAGATTGTTCCGGGCTGTCCAGGATGGTTGAGAAGTGGAGGCATGGGTCTGTTGTTTTTGTCTCTTTTAGTTCCTGTCTTTCCCCTCTGCCTCCTTACTCCCTATGAGAGTAGCATGCATGTTTTCTTTTACTGTGTGTGGGTCTCTATTACGAGTCACTGTAAGGTCAGCGTGTGTGTGTGTGTGTGTGTGTGTGTGTGTAGGGGATGTGTGCAGAAACTCTGAGGGATGTTTGCATCGCAGGAAAGTGTGAGGGATGTTTGCACCTGTGGTTGGGAGGAAGGCACCAGACAAGGGCAGGTACCTGGAGGCATTGCGTTCCTTCTCACTTGTGGGATGCGAGCATCGGCCAGCCTGGCTGGTGCCTGTGGTCCTCTGACCAGGACTTGGGGCTGCTCAGGGGTTGCACTGGCTGGCTTTCCAGCTCCCTTTCAGTTGTGAGGCTCTGTGATGCTGTGAGCTGGCTCCACCGATGTCTTGAACGATTGCTGAGGCCTGAATATTCTTGGGAGAGTCAAACGCATCTGAATTCTGTATTCTCTTGCTGAACATCTTAAGGTTTCCAGGGAAATGGTTGCATTTAAAACATTGAGTATTTCAGTGTCCCCTTATTTAAATGAACATCAAGTCCTTAGAAATGAGTGTGCTGTATTGTAGGGAGTGAATGAAGACTTGACAGCAGTTTACTTCAATAATTATTTTTTAAAACAGGCAACATGTGGCTCTTTCTATTTTGTTCTTGTCTGCCTGGAGGGTTAGTCACAAAGTGCCTCACTGATTTGCATTCAGATGTGAATCCTGTAGATGTGGGCAGCTCCCTGGTTTCTCTCTGGTTGCCCTCCTGCCGAGCACCCCGTGTAAATGTCAGCCTTGGTGCCCGAGTTGGTGAGGGGGGTGCTGCAGGTCGGCCTTTTCCCGGCCAGGGAGGACCAGGCACCTGTGAAAGTCGAGGTGATGCACAATCACATGCTTATCTGTGCACTGCAGGGTTACCCTGGATACCCAGATGAACAGGAAATCAATGCCGGACGCCGACTTCAGCTCCTGGACACCCTTAGAATTCCTGGTTGAGTGAGTATCACAGTGATGTCTGTGGCTAAGCAGGCACCAGCCCCCCTTCTCTGCCTTTTGTGGGCTGGAGGACAAGCCTGTGTTTCCTTGGATTGTCAACATGGGGGGTCGTGGAGGTGACAGGGTCTGAGGGTTGTGGTGCATCAGTGCCTGGGTTTGGAGACAGGCAGTAGAGTGGACGGGTGGACGGTGCTGACTTGAGTCCTGGCTCCCTCACTTACAATCCGACAGACTGAGCCTCAGTTTCGCTATCTATGTGACGAGGTCCATGGTAATGGTTGGGAGGATTAGAGTGGTCATGTGTGCTGACCTGTGGCAGGTGCTAAGTGAACCTCAGCACCTATTCGTGCGGTTCCTGCTCTAACAGGGAGCAGCTGTGTGGGAGGAAGACACTGAGCCGGAAGGTCTGGGGCCACGTGGCTGAGTCAGTGCTGAGTCACGACCCACAGAACGTGGCCTGTGGTTCCCAAATCCTGTTCAGATGTCGGTGAACCTGGGTGGCATTTACTCTTTCATGTTTGCCTGGGTCTCAGCCCCCTGACCCCTCTATTTAATAAGCCTGTCTTCGCGGAGCACCCATGGTGGCCGGGTGCCGTGCTGTGCTAAGGTACTAAGGCGGTCACTGCCTTCCTGGAGCCAGTTGGGTCAGGAGGATCGATGAGGTGACCTCACCCGGCAGTGCCAGTGTCTAAGCCGCTTTGATGGCTGTTTGTACAAGACATCTGCAGAGCAGGATGCACACGTGGCCTGGTGTTGCCGTCTCCTCTAGGTTAAGTTTGAGACCTTTATTCTGGGTTTGAGATAAGGACTCGCAGAGCCCTTGCTGCGCCAGCCACTACTCTCAGCACTTCCTATTTTGTTATTTAGTGCCCATAGCAAACTCCATCCTTAGCTAAGGCTTGGAGACTCCGTGATGTAATGGAGAAGGGGATGAGTGCTTTGCCGAAGATCACCCAGCAGAGCAGGATGTGACCCAGGCAGTGTGGCTACAGAGCCGTGGCCTTCCCCAGTGTGCCACAGTTGTTTCCGCCTGTGCCAGAAATCATGCCTAATGCTTGATTTGCAAAAAGAGAGAGAGAAAAAAAGTAGGAATTGTGGGAGAACTCACACTTCAAATTGCCCTTGGGTTTGACTTTCTTTCTAGAGTCAGTGGTCCCACCCACACTGGAGAGAGACGGGGATCCAGGACCCAGGCTCAGGCTCTAGGTGGGGGTGGGGTGTCTGAATTCCTGCAGAGCCACAGACCCCCAGAGGGTGTCTTGCCCCAGACAGTACGTTCACCCGTGTGTTATGTCTGAAGACTTGCCAACAAGCTGGCTAAAGTTGGCTGTGAAACGTTACCTTGCTTGCCCTCCACTATTGGAATGCCCTTGCTCGCCTTGGCCAAGCTGCTGCTGGAGGCACCCCGAGCCCTACACGTCTGAACGTACCTGGTCTCCCTCAGAGCCATCCTCTGCCGAGCTCTGCTCTGCCTCCAGGGTTGCAGGGAGCCCTGGTAGCACGCGGTCTGTGGAGCTCACGCGTGTTTCGTGGCTTGCTGAGCCCCTCAGTGGGAGCCTGTGTGACCTGGCTGCTCACCGTCCAGTCTAGCCCAGAAGGTTGCAGATTGGCACCAGGGCTGTCCCAAGAAGTCCCGAGTACTCCCCAGTTAAAGAAGGCCCAAGGCCTGGGCGCATTGTCGAAGTGGGTGATGTGCTCAGACGCCAGTGTTCTGTTTTAAGAAATCATCATCCTCTTGTTCTTCCTGTGACTCCTTCGCGCCCTTGTATTCCTACCTTCTCGGGCTTGCATCTCTTCATGCAGAGCGAACTGTGAAGGTGCCCCCACTACCATATTTAACACTTTATTGCACTAATCCATTTTTTAAAATTTTTTTCCATTGCTTGGCACACCTGGGATGCTCTATAAATATTTGCTAAGAAAAAAAAAGAGCTAATTTCCTCTTTCTCTTACATTTCTGAGATAGTAATATAGCAAAGTATAAGGTATTGTGCATATGTCACTTAGAAGTCATGAATTAATAATCTGTTTTAATCACTTAAAATCGTACCACCGAGTTATAAAGAATTCCAACAAGGCAGAAAAATACAAAAATGGAAGTTAAAGTCACCCCACTCCTGTCCTTCCTAAATAAGAATGAGTAAAGTATTGAACTCACAGGGAACCTGAGTATTGGGCTGTGAGGCTTGGTGGCTTTTTCACGGCTTTTGTAGTGTCCTCCACTCCCAGAATAATTGATATGAATATAAGCACAAATAAAGGATTTTTGCTTTGAAAATATAAAGCATCTCTTCTTTGTTCTAGAACTTTCTATGACTGGATCATGGGGAAAAACCGACCGAGCTCAGGAAGCCTGATCCAGGTGATCACCTCGGACGGAAAGTCGGAGCTTACCCCGGCATATTTTTAAACTACATCTCAGCACCTGCAAAGGCCCGTCTGAAAACTCACTGACGTATTTCGCTGTGTCCTTGTGTGGTCTGTGCCTAATGTAATCTTCGTGGTCCAGGATAGTGGGTCCTGTTTCTCTCTCACCTGATGTTCATCTGCTCTCCCAGGACGGTGTGATATGTTCATGTGTAATAAAAACATGTGGGCGTGCAGGCCTAAAATTGCATCCTCCAGCCTGTGCTAAACATAAGTGGTGACAGGAGGCCCTCTCTGCCATCAGCCGTGTGTTGGCTCACTTTAGACCAGTCGAGTGGTCTGTTGGCATGGGGGGCGTTTTGAGGGCCGAGGTATTTTTGAATGTCATGTTCATGTTGTAGATGTAGTTTTTGCAGCCTTGATTGAAACTGCCTTAAAACTCCTTCTGTGATGTCGGCAAAATCCCACGTACCGTGTCGCCAAGTCCTTTACTTGCACAGTTGCTCAGTGTCCCTGGCTTAGGACTGAGCGAGCGAGCGAGCTGCTTGTGAGTGTGTGGAATTTTTTTTCCCTTAATAAACACACTTCATTTATCGTGTTGTCTCCTTTAATCAAGCTGCACCATCCATACAGGGGTCATAGAGGGATGTAATCGGACCTTGTAATCTGGTGTTCTCAAACAGGGATGGGTTCCCATCCTGCAGTGAGTTCCTACAACATAGTAATAAGCCGGAGAGTCTGTCTTGGGCGTGTCTCAGTGTGAGGGTGGTGGGGTGGCCCTGGGCTTTGAGGAGTGGCTGTGCACATGATGGACATGGGCTGCTCTGTTGACAGCCAGTGAGCTGATCCAACGGGGTTATTTACAGAGGCCCAGACAGGCTATAATTCTGTTCTCTGCAGTAAGTGTCATAACCAAGGCCAGAACCTCAGTCACCAGACAGCTGCTATTTTTAAAGCCCTTTACCATGTGTATATTTTCTTTTTTTTTTTTTTTAAAAAAACATTTTTAGGTATGCAATTCAGTGATATTTAGCACCTTCTCAGTGTTGCACAACCACCACCTCTCTCTGGCTCCAAACACTTCATCATCCTCAAAGAAAACTCCAGGGTCCTCGAAGCAGTTCCTCTCAACATGCCTCCATTAGCCCCTGGCAACCAGCAGTCTTCTTTCTGTCCCCATGCACTTCTCTGACCTGGTTATTTCACAGAAGCAGAATCATACAGGGTGTGACTGTGTCCACCTCCTTTCACACAGATGTTTTCTCCTTCCACCTTATAGCATCTATTAGTATTTTATTCCTTTTTGTGGCTGAATAGTATGAGGGGATCTTCTAAAGTTCATGGAAAATGTTTACCATGGAAAAGCTATGTGTGGATTTCAAAATTATTTTTTGCTCCAAAATAGACTTCTCTTTTTAATGCCCCCTTTCCACAAACTGAAGTCCCCTTGATTATACATGGAGGTTTTGTGGATTCATTGACCACTGGTAGACATGGAGCGATTTCCACCTTTCGGCTGTTGCAGATGGTGTTGCTATGAAGCACGAGTGAGGATTTGTAGACTCGTTTCCAGTTCTTTCAGATTTATAAGCAGGCATGAGATGGCTTGGTCATCTCATCTGACGGAACTTGTGAAAGTTTATTTTCATTCCCCAGGTTTTTGAAATCCATATATAGTTTTTTCTCCAAATTTTTGCTGACCCTGCCTATTTATTTATTTGAAAGGCAGAGTTACAGAGAGAGAGAGGGAGAGAGAGAGATCTTCCATCTGCTGGTTCACTTCCCAAATGGCCACAATGGCTGGGGCTGGGTCAGGCTGAAGCAGAGAAACAGAGACCAAGAAAGACAAATCTGTGTGCTGGGTCACTCCCTAAATGCCTGCACTAGTTGGAATTGGGCCAGGACAAAGCCAGGAGTCTGGAATTCAGTCCTGGTCTCCCACATGAGTTGCAGGAACCCAATCACTCGAGGCATCGCTGCTGCTTCCCAAGGTCTGCATTAGCAGGAAGCTGGAGTCAGGAGTGGAGCTGGGTATTGAACCCAGGCACTCTGATAGGGGCTACATCAGATGAAGTAATGTGGAATGGAAATTTGAATAAGAGAAAAATTGAAATGTCTATCTCATTGGTTATCGAAAAATTGAAAATTGAGAGTGCAATGGTTACTAGTAACAGTTTTCAGTGCTTGTGGCAATGTGTCTTCAAAGCTTGCTGGTGGGGGGACCAGATAGCCAAAAAATGTTTTGGGAACTACTTTGACGGTCTCTGTCAATGCCCTTAATACTTTGTACTACTTAATCTTGTGAGTCCACATCTGAAGTGCTGTGTAGCAACCAGAAACAAGGAGAAAATTTTGTAACAGATGTAGTTCCTGCATCCATCACTGAAATCTTGGGGACCCTGAAGTCCAGTCATGGAGCATTGTTAAATAATCACCAGTTAATGTTTGTTAAATTGTTTGGCTTTAAACTGCCCCTCTACATAGTGTTAAGCTGGTATAAATGTTTCTCTATCCAGAATGAACGATCACCTAACCTAATGTGTAAGCACCTGTCACCACCTCTTGTTACAAGTAGCTGAGTTTTAAGCACCCAGCTCTTCAAATGTTCAATAAGACAGAAGACTAACCACGGGGCTGTCTCAGTAGCTCACTTCTGTCTTCTGTACTTTTCTTTCCTCTGGCTAAAAGCATATCCTTCCCAGGTGGTGAAGGTGGGCATTTTGGACCATTTTTGGTCTGGTTTATTATCTGGTTCTAGAATCTCAAAGTCAATTAAAACCTGCATGACCAGATTTGTTACAGTTTTATCTTTTAACATGATTATTGAATGCTTACTGTAGTGTAGGTACTGGACTAACCACTCCTTGCAATTCTATTGAGGGAACTTCCATTTCGTCCATTTTACAGTTGAGAAGAGAGAGGCCTAGAGAGAAGTTAAATTGCCCAAGGTCACACAGGAAATAGACAAAGCCAGGGCTTGAATGGGAGTTCAGAGGATGGAGTCAGGGCTCTCGGCCACTCTACTACACCACACAGCAAAGAAGCCACTCATTTGGTGAGCACAGCTTCATTATCCTAATGGTAAATAATACCATGATTAAAAAGCACATTTTCAAATAATTCTTGGGGAAATGGGAAAATCCTCATGGTATCATGTCAAGCAAAAATCAGCATAACTGACATATTATGATGTAATATGATGTGACCCCAATTATGTCAAAACATGTTACCCCACATTTGATCAGTGTGGAGCAACCCTTTGTATATGTCATTGTCACGGAAATCATGGGTGTCTTACAGTTGTCAGTGAACCAAAGTGTAACTGGCAGGGTTCTCAGAGGCACATAGAATAATGGTGTCTCTTAAAGCCAACCATGCCCCTGAGTCAGGAGAGACGTGGAAGCATCAACAGTGGGGATCCGTGGGCCGCGGCAGGCGCTGCTGTGGACTCCACAGGGGAGGCGAATCTTCAGCACTATCCCTCCTTCTGGCCGAGCAGCGTGGCTCATTTCCTCTTGGCTGCATTCGGTTAATTATGGGATTAGTCCTAATTTGGTTTTCGTCCATCTCGCTTGCTGGACTGTAACTCACAAACGACAGACCCTGTTTCTTCTGTGCAGGGCTGCATCCTGCTGTCAAGTTGGCTCCGTGACCCAGCCATGCGGTTGACAAAAACCAGGGACCGTACCTACTGCTTTGTTGACCAACTCATCTGGTTCTCTTCTTGTTTATGCCAGATGTGTGGGGACAGTGATAACATACGGTGCCTACTGTGTGCCTGGCACCATTTAATTCCTCACAGCCTTGGTCTCATCCTCACAACAACCCTGTTAGCTCTTCAGCTGACAGAGGAGGAATCGGGGCGGGGGGGGGGTGTGTGTGTGCAGGGGGTGGGGAGAGCAGCTGTGTGCCCAGCACCCAGCTGTTGGAGACAGAGCAGGGATGACCCACACTCGGAGTGCTCCCCCTGCCTTTCCCGAGTTTTCTCTCGGAGCTTCTAGTAGGACCCAAGGGTGCTGATCTACTGGAACCCAACCCATTCCTGGTTAAATAACCAACGAAATCCACAACTTTGTTTGCAGTGGGGGGAGGCAGCTCTCCAAAGCGTGGGTGGTGGGACAGGCAGGGAGGAAGAGGGCTTGACCAGTTTCCCTGTGCCGTATATTCTGGGCTTTCTCCCTCCACCCTCCTTGTTGCCAGGGCCCTCACCTCCTGAAAACTGGCCAGATTTTATACGGCATCCTGTGCTCTGGGAGAAGCTGTGGAGAGTTAGATCCTATTTTGAAAACACGGTATTCCTCTGCAGTGTGTGCTGAACCCCAGCTAGTTCTTAGCTAAGAGGACACCTGGCCTGGGGGTGCTGCCTGTCCCTGCTGCACCCTCCTCCCACCCCAAAGGTGTTGCCTGCACGCTTTCCTCTGCCCCGTGCACCATCCCCTTCTCCCCATTCCTCAGCTCCTGCATCACTTCCAAGGAACGCCCTTCCTGGACCCCTAAGTCAGACCCCAAATCCCGGGCTCTCACATTGCCTTTCCGATGGCAGTTGTTTGCCTTGGTGCTGTGGTTTGGTTCACATCTGCTCCCCACCATCAGCCTTTAGGTTCCCTGTGCTGTCTGTGCATGGTACAGTGCCCGGCACGCAGTAAGAGCCAAGCGGGACTTGGTGAATGGGAAGAGTGCCCTGAACAGGGCAGGAGGTCACGGTCCTCCCTGGGGTGGGGGAGGGGCTGACCCTCAGCCTCGCCTTCCGTAACTGTCTGCCTTAGTGTCGCAGCACAGTGATGCGAGAGCCAGGAGCACTTTGATCCGAGTGAGGACTCCTTTGCCGCCCATTCCTCTGTCATGGCCTTGACCGCTGCCTGTGAGGCAAGACTTAGGGGTGGGTGCAATGCCTCTGTTTGCTTTTAAGGAAACAGCACAGATGTCTAAATCAGTGACCGTGGTGTCGCTTTCTTTTCATCCCTCTGTCTCTGCTGTCACCACACTGTCTTTGCAGCCCATTTTCACTTCCTTCCTTCAATTCTCCCTCTCAGAAGCTCAGAAAAGCCTCCTGGTGGTGATGAGCCCAGCCGCCCAGTAGGCCTTCTTCAAACAGATATGAAAAGTAGCTGTTGTGGAAAGACGTTTTTTGGGGCTAGTAAACATTCCACGCAGAATGCTTTTCTTTTTAAAAGCTGATCTGTTTCCGCAGGCAGAAGCTGACCATGCACGTTGGTGATGTCCCTGCAGTGCGTGTTCTGTATTTAGTTCTCTTATCGTCCAAGCCAGGTTTCTTAGGCAGCCAGGAAAGGGCTCACAGTTTAGGTGGTCCACAGCCACAGAGCACAGGGAGGCACCCTGACCTGCACCAGTCTTTAGCTGATGGTGGCTTTTCCTTGCGGGTTACCTGGCTTGCTTGTGAAAGGGAAAACGCTGATGGGAGGAGTTTCCAAAACGTCCACTTGGTGGCGCTGTGAGCTTGGATGGAAGCGTGTTTGGCTTTCCCACCTGTGAGTTACTTGGGCGGCTGTGAAAATCACGCCCAGACCAGCTCCTTGGCCTTCAAACCGCGGCGTTACCATTGCAGCCAACGCCGGAGTGTGACGTCCGCTTCCCCACGGGCTGTAAGTCTCACAGGAGCACAGGGTCAGCATTCCTGAAGACACTGCTTCTGTCTCTTTCTCTGGCTTTGGTTGTTAGGAAAGGATTCATCTACGAAGCTTGTTAAAAAGTGGCTCCTGGAGTTCTCTCTCTGGACGCAGTTCGAGGAGCAGACAGAGCTGTGAATTAATTATCTGTCGATGCATAAGAAATCAGCCTCAAACTTACTAATTGTCAGTCTGACCCCTCATTGCTTCTGAAGCATGATTTCCTCTTGTCTGCTCTTCATTCTCCTGGCATAGCCCTAGTGCAACCCGTTAGCAGCCTCTTATCCACCTCTGCTTTGGCCGACGCCTCCTACAGCTGGCATGGCCCTCCACCCCAGGACCTTTGATCGGATGAAATCGCACCCTTTGCGTAAAAGCTGCGCTGGGTTGGATGGCCCTCCTCTGCTCCCAGTGTTCCCCGTGGGCCACCCTTGGACCTAACCTTGCACACTCTTGCCCACCCTTTACTCCAGCTGTTTCCAGGGCCGCTGCTTTGGGTAGGTGCAAGCTGACCATGTCTGCTCAGCTGTCCTGCCGACCTTGCCACTTTCTCCTTTACACTGAGGTGGGGATGGCTGCATGAAGTGCTGGGCGCTGGCAGACCTGGGAGCAGAGTCAGTGCTCACAGGGACAATTCTGCACCTCCGGGACACAGGAGCTGGTGGATGAACGCTCTTGCCTTCTGTCCCAGCATCAGTGTGAGGCACGTTTCTTGTGACTGCCCACTGCCCAGAGTGAACCAGCGTCGCAGAGTCCCCCGCATTGGCTTCCCTCCTGCTCCCTACACTGTTCCCAGCCTCCCCCCTTCACCCCCCTACCCTGCCTCCAACCTGCTCTGTGGCACCGATTGTCCCAATACTTTAGTGCCTGCAATCCCTTATGTTAGATTTTACTGTTGGGGGCTACGCAAGATGTCTTAACTCCATCACTGGCTTTAATGCGTTAAAAATGTCTTAATTATTTTTCTGTATTTCTATCTTGAAAGTGGAGATCTGGCCTTATTTGTCATCTAGGCCGGTTACGATCAGTGCTTGTGTTAGACCCTCGGAGTGAGGATGCTAACACGTCGAGAGGCACACCCCAGAGACTCAGACTCCAGACCAGCTGATGCAAAAGCAAGAGGATTTATTTGGCGTCTGCGCAGACGGGCCTCCTGAACTCGGGAGTCCAGAGAGCACCCCCAGCACAAAGCCACACGGTTTATATACCCGCAGCGACCAATCAAAAGCTCTATAGTGTCCATGCACACAGCAGTCCAATCCGTGAGCTGATCATGTGAAAGGCATGCGTCTTCTATCCAATCAGCTACGGGATCACATGGGAGGCCATGCACACAGCAGTCCAATCCACGAGCTGATCATGTGAAGGGCATGCGTCTTCTGTCCAATCAGCTACGGGATCACATGGGAGGCATGCACCTCATCGCCATTTTGTTGTTTACTTCTTTAGTAGCTCCTTTCCCTGCCAGCGCCATCTTGTTCACCCTGAGGGGGGACGACGTCTCGCTCCCTTTTTACCCCTGGTGGGAGAGCGGCGTCCCGCTTCCCACACCGTTATTTGAGTATTAGGAGGTATACAAACTGGATTAGGTCTCAGCACAGCCAGGCACAAGTGTCGCAGCTAGCTAAGCATAGGGTCCCTTATTTTATAGCTGCACGTAATTTTTAGCTTTGGGCGAAAAAGTTTAGGGCTGTAATTTTAAACTTTAATTTTTATTTGGGGCAAAGGTGACTTCTTGTTTTTAATAGTATTGGCTTAGGTCACTCCATCTTGGTTTGATTTTTAAGGTTCTTCACTTGTGAAATGAATGACTCAGGTGAGAAGAACAATGCTGTTTGCAAACAGCAGCTAAGAGGCATCGGAAGAATATTGTAATATTGTCTTTGTTTTATTTCCTGGATGTCTACACGCCTGGGCGGTTGGTGCTATTATTATTCCCAGCTTAGAGAGGTTGGGTAACTTACCCAGAGGCACACAGCTAGGGGAAAAAAAGATGAGGATTTTGAGTTTTCATCCATCTGATGCCCAGGTTGGCTGTTGCCAGCTCTATTACTGGGGAGCAGTGAGGCTTGCTATTGTCAGTGTTTGAGCCCAGGGCCCCGGCGGGGCGTGCCGGGAGGGGAGCCTGAGTTGTTCCAAGAAGAGTCTTTGTCAAGTGATCTTTATCTGGCAGGCATTGGGAACCTCTGAAGGCTTCAAACATTTTCTCCTGGTGTCTTTCCCCAGTTTCCTGCGTTTAAAAGACTAGCAGCAGTTGGAAGCATTTCCGCGAGGGGGCAGGCATTGGTCACAGCAGCAGAGAATGTTGGGCTGGAAAACCACCCTGACAAACTGGGCCGCTCCGAGTCGATCCGAGATCGATCAGTCAGCTCAAGCCCCGAGACCCGCTGGCCTTCCTGCTGCCCCCTCCCTCCCCCGCTGCTTCCGAGCCCCTCCCCCCTCGCCCTTTCCCCCTCTCATTCCACTTGTTTACTTTCTTCACTGAAGCAAAAACAGGCTAAAAACCACAGCCGATGCTGCCCGATCTTCCCTGCCGTATCTTGTAAGCACAATCCACATGCAAACAACACACACAGAGCACCCACAGCAGAGAGGATGCCACTCACCAGGCAGAGCCCTTGAGCCTGCCGCTGTCCATCAGGAGTCCCTGTAAGTTCCCATCACTTGTGCGTGCAGCCACGCCTGGGGTTCCAAATCCCACAGATGCTCCGGTTCCTTCTATAGCATGGTGTAGGATTTGCACATAGCCTATGAACATTCTCCTGTAGACTTTATCTCTATACTTACCCAAGGCAGTGTAAGTGCTGCGTAAATAGTTGTTACGCTGTGTCTTTTAGGGACTAGACAAGGAACAAAAGGTCTGTACATGTTGAGTACAGATGAACCAAATTGAAGAGTACCTGCTATGTGCTGGGCTTGATACTAGGCGCTTTCTTCTATTATCTTTTTTGTTAAAATGGGATCAAGAAATACGATCAGTCATTTGGGAAGGTTTTTGTATGCTCACTCATTAGAAGTAATCACTATAAAACAATTGTGATGGCCTGACAAAGATTTAACCTAGACTACGATCGTAATACAAGGGGCTAAAGACCAGATGACCATTCAAGCCACTTGAAATACTAGTAATTAATGGCAGGGTGTTGTGCATAATTGCATACCACTAGTGTGCAGCTCTTTTTTAAAAAGAGGCCTTTACATTGGATGTCAATCTTTCCTTTGGTCAGGGAACTGCCAGTGTACTGTACATTATTAAGTGAAAGCAAGCAGCCAGGTTAAATTCTAACAAAGTGTTACCATTGTTATTTGAAAAATAACAGCTTAGTAGTGTTGGTGTCAAACTGACTTGTATCAGTGGGTGGAATAAGGCCATTTTGTCCTTTTAGGCCATCCAATTTATGTCACTACCACTTCCTAAAGTGCCTTCTTAAGTTAAAACAAAGAGAATGAATACATTGAGGATGCGAATGAGAGTGCCGTTTAGTATACAGAAAGGATTATATGGGATCTGTCTGTGAGCATCTAGGAAGGCTTTGGGAGCAGGTTGCATATTTTCCTGGGTTGTATTTGTATTGCAAATGTAACTCATGTTTCTGGATGACAGTTCAGCAGGCAAGCTGTCCCTTTCCCTGTGTGGGACCTCTCTGAACAGGCTCTCTGAGCAGGCAGGTGAATGGTCTTCCCCCAGCAGTAGGGGGATCAAGATGAAGGAAAAGTTTGTCAAGAGAACATACTGTGGATGAACTTACCAAGAGCTTTGTGAGGGTGGGAAGTAAAGAGGAAGGCATAGGTTCACGTAAAGCGGACCTAGAGAGCGGGAGAGGTGGCTGGGCTGCCTGCTGCCTGTGTGTCCAGCGTCACGTCGTGGCCCGTTGTGCACTGGAGTTGTGCCCTTGAGGCTCTTCAAGACTCCAGAGCAGAAGGGCAGACCTGCAGTTGTGATGTGACTGTGAGGTGGACGCAGGGTCCAGCTTTCAGCCTGTTTCTATCCGTACGCTCGTGGGCAAGTTTCTTTACCCCGGGTTCTCCACGTCTTTATCTGTAAAATGGGGGCACTCGCAGCTCCCTCGCACACTTATGGGGAGGATGAGATGAGACTACGGGAAAGATCTAGGTGGAACCCTGCGTACACACGGGCAGCCCTCAGAACCTGCTAGTTCCCTTTCACCTAGGACCTCCTGTCTCACATTAAAGAGTGGCTTAGATAGGACCAGCAAGGAGAGCAGCCATCCCAGATAGTAGTAAAAAGACA